AAACACTAAAAAAATAAATAAGACATAATTTATTTCTTGATTGAGGCAGTGCAAAGTCTGCCGGGTCAGCTAGTATTCTTATATATTAAGATTCTTTCTTCGAACTCCGATTATTTGTCAGCTTAAAATGTAACAAGTGCCAATTATGTAAGCGGCATACTGATAGATCTTTGGTTCTATCATTTGTCACTTTGACATGTTAAATTGGCCTTCAAACTTGTGTGAATGAACCCTTATCATAATATAAATTAAAAAAAATACTTTAATATAATTTACCATAGTGATAATACCATACAAAGACTTTGTTCGCCACAGATAGAACTTCTCATACAAGCATGCAATACCCTAATGATTTATGAGTTATGACTTAAGGCGATGATACTGTCAGTACGTAAGTTTGCGATGCAACTTCATACTAAGGTACAAATCTCACGCGAACATAACCTTGAATCTATTACGCGAGTACTTGAGGTCTTATTTCTTTATTTTGCTTTAACTAGAAGTAATGATTTGGTAATTATTATTTGTCTTAATAAAAATTGAATACGCGTCTTTTAGATAATATGTACCTATTAGTTTTTTTGAAATGTCATTACGATAAAAGCGCGGGAACTTGAAATATTTGGATGTGTATGGGAACTTCATATATAGTAGTGGTGGATAATTATTATGGAGTTTTTTACAAAAATAAAATCGCGTAATATATTCAAAAAATGTTAGTTTCATGTAGGTAAATGAATAAAATTCGCGAAATACTTAGATCTCATTAAATAATTTGGAACAGAATGCTGAGTGACAGACCAGTGATGATTTGATAAAATTTAATTTGTTAAAAGTCATAACTTACAAGAGCTAATCATTTTTAGCTATCTGTCTAGATATGGCGACGCACGATAAACTATTTGAACTTTATAAACTTATATTATTTTGTTGTTCTGGTCGCATTATTTGAATTAAAGAAATGACTGAACTTAAAAAAGTTATTTAAAGTGTCATGTTACTTATATTATGTATTTTGTATAAATGTTTTTGAGATTTTCAAATATTAAACAACATATGTCTTTCAGAGAAGTTTTTGTTTTGGTCTCCAATTAGAATAGGTTGCAATTAATGTAAACCCAACAATATTATTTAATAAAAAAAGTTGTTAATTAATCGTATTAAATAAGCATGAATATTTTAAAGTGTGCAAATATTTTTACAACACTATACAATATTAAATATTGTTAATAACTATTAATTAAAAATTATTAATGGAATTCGACCTTTTTCATACAATCGTGACTTTGAAAACACATGAAGGGCGAGTACGTACAAAGTAATATTACACTTATTGTGGTAAAATATATAATGACATACCGACAAACAAATTCAAATATATATTGTATGGGCGGGAACAATTGTAATAAATAAAGCGATAATTTCATCGGTATTCACTACTCAGTACCATCGAGACTCTGGGCTCGTCCGCGTAATATTGACATTCGTTCCCGCCAAAACTAGTGTCAGAGTGTTTGTTGTTTTTTTTTTTTATAACCATGGATATACTGTCAAAGGTAATTTTTATTCAACTTACCTACAATTTAATATATATTATTCAATATAGTTATCCTGTTTAAATTTTCTATGTTAATTAAATTCGTCGTCTAACAAAATTTTACTTGCAAATCATTTTTCATTGACGCCGAATACAGTGTACAGACAATTAAAAGTATGAAAATGATTTTAAACTATGTAATAACTAAAGTATGGATTATTTACCCGTACATTAATTATAGTAACGTTATTTTGCATTGTCATGCCTCGTATTATATTAAAATTACCCATAATATAACCTATTATTGTGTTTTCAAATTAGTACTCACGTAAATGATAGAAGAAACGTAATTTATTATACTTTTTACGTATTCCGTATATTTTTGGTATGTAATTATTAGTCAGCACTTTGAACCTTCCAAAAGATAACTGCGCACTATGATAACATGTGATAATGTATGGAAGGAGTTTGTTACTAAATTATTAATTTGTATTTTATACATAATTGGTTACAATTGGTCAGGCCGTTTGATTGCAGTGACCTTGAGTGATTCACATTGAGATTAGAGATATACAGAAGATTAAAAGAAAGTATTTTTTTCTCACACATGACTTAACAAATATAATATCTTTTTCTTGATGAATTTATATAGAATATAAATGGGCCGTATGTAGAACCTCTTTGGACGATTGCGTTAAACAAATATAAGAATTAATCAAACAAGAAAACACTTGTGAACGTTACGAAATATTGTGTATTGGATGATGAAATTTTAATGTCTATCGATCATTTTTTATCTGTGGCGCGGTTCATTTCTAATTTGACGTTAATAAAAAAAATTTTAGAACATATATAACATTAATGCTTTCGGATTTACAACGCGATTTTTATTTTCGACTATAAACTACATACTTTCGACGTTTCGGTTACTTTACAGCAACCGTGATCACGGACAGACGAGATGGATGTCAGACAGTCAATCAAAAATAAAATCGCGTAGTAAATACGAAAATATTAGTTTCATAATTCATTTAAATTAGTATTCTCGAAAATCTTACACCTTATTATAAAAATAATACAGTTTTTTTAACAACATTATAGCAAATTAATGTTTTATTTTATATTTTTTCATATATTTGCTTGAAAGTATTTCCTAAGTTATGTGTTAGTTATTTCAATTATTTTCTTTTATGTCGATGCGTCGCTGATGTATTTTCGTGTATAATTATTTTTAGTAATGACTTATGATGTCGATTTAATTTAAAAATAGGTTGGATTAAAATGAAATGTATGTGAAACTTCGAGTTTAGTATGGAAATTTTACAAAAAAATTGTATGGAATTTATACAAAAATGTAAGCATCGCGTCGGTTCTTTTTTGTTTTATGACAATAAAAAAGTTTAATAATAAGGGATTTATTTATTATGTAGGTTACTTTACTCTAATTTTTTTATGTATACATACAAATAATTCGATCATATGTTCACGCTAAAGTACCGGTTTACATCTATTATCTACATGGTGTTCAAATAAAAACACCATTTAATATTCTATCTTAATTCCTATTTTTTTTTCTTATAGTCCATTCTTATATATATTTAGAAAGTCTCTCTCCTTAAATATGACTAAAAAAGTATGTTACAATTAATAATATTTATTATTATATTTTATTTATACAATTATTTCAAAGAAAACATCACTATACAAGTCATAGAGAAAAATCTAGAAACAATAAACAATTTTCTCTGATTATCTAATAACAGGTTACAATATTATCTATGTATCTAACTATGGACAACGAAACAAGATAAATTTTGTAAATATATTAACAGAACTGCGCTCTGATAGTAAATTAATTATTTTTATCTGAGTTTTGCACTTGATATCGTTGTCTTACGAAAGTATTTCCGTTATTTTAGATTATAAATACTTTTTAGATAACAATTATCTATTGTGATTAATTATATTTTGAGTATACTAATGATTTTTAAAGTGTACTTTATATAAATAAAATTTAACAGTAATGAGATCTAAGATTGTCGCGAGTCTGATTCATTTAAATGAAACTAATATTTTTTTAAGTTGTACTACACGATTTTTTTGGATAAAAAAATAGTTGCCGTAAAGTAGCCGAAATGTCCTGAGCATGTAGTTTTTTGTCAAAAATAAAATATCTTAGTACATCGGAAAAATATAAGTTTCATTTAAATAAAAAAATGTTACAGTGTTACAAAATGTAATAAATATAATTTATTTTTAATTTCTTTGTGCATGTGTTAATGAACAGACTATTAACCTATCTTTCTTCCAAAACAGTTAAAAACTAATGTTAAGTTTTGACAGACTGCGTCAAAGTAAAAGTTATATTTAATTATACAAAACAATTGTTATATTTAAATTATAACAATCTATAAATAGAATATGATAAGAAATATTAAAATTAGTTACATTTTTATATGTTTTATTATTTATTGGGATTCTAATAAACGTTTTAAGGTAAGTATACACGTATAAGCTATCACAACATCAAATCACAAGTGTGTAACTGCCTTTATGATAAAAATAGTCGTACTATAAATACCTACTGATAACGAAGACTACTAGTTAAAAGACATTGTACAGTTAGCATTGATGGGTCGCACGAATGAAAAATTTGAATAGAAGATCTTAAATTGAAATATGGAGTATGAAATGGATCGTATAGAATTCTGGGTACGTTATAATTATCTTTTTATATTAAAAAAGTCGTGTTTGTTACACTATTTATAACTCAAGAATGGATGTACGGGTTTGGCTGAAGATTGATCGCGAGATAGATTAGAACATGGGAAAGGACATAGGATACTTTTCAATCGATTGAAAAAGAGAAAAACGGGAATTAGAATTTAACGAAGAATAGACTTCGCCCGGTCAGCTATAAATTTCTAATTTTCAAACTAACGCAGACGAAATCACGGGATAAAATTAGTAAAATAATAAATAACAAAAAAATTCGTTTTAAAAAGAAAATAATTTGACATAGTATTTACATATATATTTAAATGTACATAGGAAGGTTTTTATGTTTTTATTTTTTATAAAAACATATGTTAAATATCACTTATATATAATGACGTACATCCTGTTATTATATAGCCGTAGTATATAATATATGTTCCAATATCTATATATGTAATTGTATATAAAAAACAATTGAAGTTTTTCTGTCATATTGACTTAAAAATCTTAAATTATAAATTATTATTATTATGTACTAAAAACGAGATTTATTTAAAATATTTGGTTAACAAATTTAAATATATCATTCATCTAGTTCAAAATATAATTCTTATTTTATTTATCATATGTATGTATGTATATAATCTTTTGTTTTATATGTCATTTAGATCTAGAAGGTTCTAATTGCATGGTAATCTATTTGTATGTAAGTGTCAAACCACATCTGACGTATTTGTTGCTCTAGATCCGAAGTCATCAACGCACTCCGTCAGGGTCCCGGGATTTTAAAGAGGCGACAAAACGAGATGCCCTTGCTCGTCTGGAAGTGGAACTGGAAAGACTTCTGTCTTCTGTCCCTGACCCAAAAAAGCCTTTAGTGGAGAAAGAGTTCGCGGGATTCAAGAATCTATTTAGCAGATTCCTCGCAGAACGTGAGTATTGTTTTTACTAAATTTTTTGTCATTTTTGGCCCATCCATGTAGTTAAAATGGACAAAGTCGGAAAAACATCCCAATGACTGCTTTGCATATAAAATTTCATGACGAAAACGACTTCTAATTAGCTGATAATCTAGTTGCTATATAAATATTGTTTTGATATTTTTTGTCATTTTCGATCCATATTAGCTATCTCTGATATTGACAAAACTTAAGTCAGAAATATCCTTCATTTTGCATAAAATTATTTGTTAAGGGCACGATTTTATACTCACTGGTAATCTAGTTATTATAATTGTCATAAAATTTTAACGATAACATAATAATTTTATACCAATCATTAATATAGATCACAATAATATTTTCACGACTAAAAGGTTTTAAAATTGTATTTTAATTAATATATAGATTAACGCGTTCCAATATTTGATCGTTATAAACTGTTACACAATACTTACAAATGATTTGAGATGTTAAACATTTAGTTATTCAAATCGTAAAATATTTAAAAACTAAGCAATTGTTTATTTGAGACCAAAAAAAGATAATATACTAAGGACAAATTCTTTAACAAATTATGGATATCAAAACCAAAAATTTCTTTCTTGCAGAGGGTCCGTCTGTCACGTGGGAGAAAATCCAGAAACTTCCAGAACATGCTGTCATTGACTACTCCACGCTTCAAACTCCCACCACCGATAGCATTCACCATATGCTGGATAAATTAGTAGTGGTCAAATTAAATGGAGGGCTAGGTACCTCCATGGGATGTAAAGGACCCAAATCGGTCATACAAGTCAGAAATGACCTGACTTTCCTTGATCTGACTGTGCAACAAATTGAGGTGAGTACATTGGGTATAGCTTGAAGCGATGGCTTAAAAGCGATACCATTTTATTTGTTTATTACAACAATAAGGCTTATATAGAATTTTGTATCCAGGGATATAAATGTAAATTAAAAAAGCATTAACGTAATATCACGGATTTTTTTTTGGACCAAAGTAAGAGAAATGTAAATGAAACAAGCATTAACGTAACATAAATCACAATTTTTTTGGATCAAAGTAATTAAAAGACGCCGTTTTATTTGTCCTCAAAAATCCTTAGTTTAAAACTGCCAAATATGTTTTTATTTCCTTGGTATTCCTCCATAACAGAAATATATGTACCTAGTTGATGTACAGAAAACTAATATTATTGAGTCAGCATTCAAAAGAGAGTAATAATGCTAGCATATTGTGAGTAATATATCCCTTATAATTTCCAATATCTTTATTTCTTATATAGCATCTGAACAAGACGTACAAATGCAACGTGCCCTTAGTGCTCATGAACTCGTTCAACACGGACGAGGACACGTTGAAAGTTATTCGCAAGTACCGCGGCTTGAAACTAGACATCCACACTTTCAACCAGTCCTGCCACCCAAGGATCAACAGGGAGTCCTTACTGCCGCTGGCCAAAGACGCTGATGTACACTCGGATATAGAGGCGTGAGTATTAATGTACTATGAATGTGACCTTGATGATTAAAATTGGAGAATTTTGCGCTAAGAATATTTTGGGGTATATGCAACGAATATTTGTGTTACACTACGCTAAGAGACTAACTGATAGATATTTACGTCTCGTCTATTGCTGCAAAGTAACTGAAACGTGGAGTGTGTAGTTTGAATGATAAAATACGAGTAGTAATCCGAAAATATTAGTTTCATTTCAATACTCGCGAAAGTCCTAGATCTCATTATAAAAATAGACTCCCCTGTTGGTCTATAATGAATCAGAACGAGAGGCTGAAAACTTATTAATCTTACATAAAATGAAAATAAGATTATCTGCTCTTAGTAAATTTTTACCTGCAGCCCTATATGGTGTTGTTTATTGTAGAAGTAAATTGAAGAACATTGTCCTATAGGCACAACAGTACTATATTACTAAAGTTAGTCTATACTTAATCTTCCGCCTTTATTTAGACTTCACCAAACAAAAAGTCACAAGTAGAGGGTATACTAACTCTGGAAGAAATTGTATAATTAATGAAATTTAAGACTTTCGCAAGAATTCATTAATAGTAACTAATATTTTCGTATTATACTACAATTTATTTACTATTTTTAAAACATACATACATCAAGTCTGCCCGTAATCATGGTTGCTGTAAAATAACCGAAACGTCGGCAGTATGTAGTAAAAATAATAACAAACGCGTAGTGATCAGAAAATATAAGTTTAATTTAAGTTAATATGATTGTTATTCAATGTGTGAACGTCTTGCGTAGTTCATTATCTTACGCATGCAGTTTATCGTTAATGAGACCAGCCACTGATAACACTCGACCACCGCCAGCTCGTTACAAGGTGTTATCATTTACATACGCATCCATTCAATAAGAGTATATATTAATGAATATGATATAGTTTGGTGTATATATTATTAGATAGACGAGAATTATGGTTCGGAATTTCATTAAAATTGATGCTTGAAGCTCTGTTACACCTAAATACTGTCGTGATACAATATATAAAACATATTAAAATAGTCTACATTTGATGTCCACTAAGTCCTATATAAATACAAATACAATCATTAGCTCTTATTCGTCGGCTTTGAGTGTAAATACAAACATTTAAAATTTTCAGTGTTAACACTTCTCGCAATTTGGGGGGGGGGGGGGGTAATTTCGTAAAATCTCTTCTACCAAATTTTCTAGTCTCCACTCCTTATGGTTACAGAAAAAACTCTTGTATATACAAAAACATATATTTTCTGGAACATCTAATACAATAAAATAATATAAACCTCACTTCGTCTCGATTGGAAACTTAAATAAGTTTTGTTATATTATTTCAGTTGGTACCCCCCCGGTCACGGAGACTTCTACGAATCTTTCTACAATTCTGGTTTACTGGATAAATTTATCAAAGAAGGCAGGACGTACTGCTTCATCAGCAACATAGATAATTTGGGGGCGAACGTCGATTTGAACATCCTTAATTTATTGTTAAATCCAGACCAGAAGGAACAATCCGAATTCGTCATGGAAGTCACTGATAAAACAAGAGCTGATGTCAAAGGTGGTACTCTAATACAGTATGAAGATAAACTTCGTCTGCTAGAAATCGCTCAGGTGCCTAAAGAACACGTGGATGATTTCAAATCAGTTAGCCAGTTCAAATTCTTCAATACCAACAATCTATGGGCTAAATTGGACGCGATTAAGAGAGTCGTAGAACGAGGATCCTTGAACATGGAGATTATCGTGAATAATAAAAGTCTAGCTGACGGTGTGAATGTAATACAACTGGAAACAGCAGTGGGGGCGGCTATGAAATGTTTTGAAGGCGGCATCGGGGTCAATGTACCCCGGAGCAGATTCTTACCGGTCAAGAAGACCTCGGATTTATTGTTGGTGATGTCGAATCTATACAGCCTGTCTCACGGGTCGTTAGTGATGTCTTCTCAAAGAATGTTCCCGTCTACTCCATTGGTGAAGCTTGGTGATAACCACTTCGCTAAGGTTAAGGAGTTCTTGAACAGATTCGCTACGATACCTGACCTGATTGAATTGGACCACCTCACTGTCTCTGGAGATGTGACTTTCGGCCGCGGCGTGTCTTTAAAGGTCAGTCATACACATTCATACACTATCAGTCATACACAGACAGTCATACCATGTAAATCATTGATTTACATTCTAATAGTAATCTTCTCCATGTGAGAAGAGGCTATGCTCTGATGATGAGTAATAATAGGTCATTACTATTTTATATAAAAATTTGAAAATTTAATTATAATTTCATTTATTTTCCTTATTTTATGTCCTTAATTAACCAGAACACTTAAAAGTTTATTATCTTGTTAATTACTTGATGCTTAGAATATCTATTTAAGATTTTTAAAACATTGCTCTAATTTTCAAGGTATTTCTAGTATTTTATACTGATATTATGTATTATCTTTGACAGGGCACGGTAATAATAATAGCCAACCACGGCGAACGTATTGACATCCCATCAGGAGCGTTGCTGGAAAACAAAATAGTATCAGGAAATCTCAGGATATTGGACCATTAGGAGAAAAAAATCAGTAAAAATAGTAGCAAAAAAAACTTGTGTTCAATATCTGTAAATACATAATATATAGACCATATTTTTTTGGCAATTTAGCCCCAAATCCTCACTTCATATCCAAAAAATATGAATACATTTATAAAAATGGTAGATTATCTTCAAATATCTTGGAGATTTCATAGTTTGGTGGCTTCTAATTAAGCAAATATTGAGATTTTTTTGTAACATTATTTATAATAACATTTTTTCAATTTGATATTCAGAAGTATCTCAAAGGAAACCAATATTAATTGTTTTACAGATATTATGTAGTATAAGCCATAGTTAATACTGTTCAAGCACAATTTTCTAAATATTTTAATTTTTATATATATTGTTTTATATAGTTGGCATAATATTTTTGTAAGTTACATAGGACTGGCTTTTTTGAAGAATTTAAGTGAATGTAGTTTAAGTGGAAATAATTTTTAATTGTCTCGTTAGCGTTAGTTTAAAACTGTTGCATGTTATATATAAATTTATATTTATTTTATATAACAGTAATTTATTTTCGGTGCAATAGTTATTTATAAATGTGTGCCATTTTATGAAAATAAAAATTAATAATTGTTGGTTTGTTTTCAATCATTTTCACCCGATGACACTGATATAAGCACAGATAAAATAAATCTTATCTTAATTAAATATTATCTGGGGATTAATATTATTTTTTTAAAAGATTTAATATTATATGTATTGGTGAAATACAACCAGTTGTTGAAAGAATAAATTATTTACTGAGATCTTTAAATATAGTTATTTGAATCAGTTTGGTTTCATAATGCTTTAAAATGTAGGTATTTGCTATATCTTAAAAACTTTAATTTTTTTACATTTCAATTTCCATATTTGTGTTTATGCTATTAGACATATACTTTTATAATTAACTAAGAAACAAAACCAAAAACAGTACCAAATAACTTTTCTTTTTACAAGAGTATTTACATTAAATAGCACATTCTGTAAATGACATATTTTGTTGAATCAAATATTAATATATTCTTATGTATATAGAATATTGTTGTTACTTGTAAATATAAAATAAAAATTCACTTGGTTTATAAAAAGTAGCTTCTAGATTTCTTTCTACTACTCCAAAAACAATCTGACCAGATATTATTATAATATACAGAAAAGGGATAGCTATACACACAAAATAAACTAAAATAATTACATATATAAACAATTGGAAATTACCCACCCATAACATAACCCACCTTAAAAATTCTAATACTTAGACCAAAAACTTAAAATATCTAATTTAATATCATAATTTAAGACAGCATGAGCCCAAGACCTGTCTCCGAATTCTCTCATTCCATCTTAACATGGATGCATATCAGCTGGAATTGGAATTGTAACTCCTGCTAGCTAAAATGCTGATTGCCCCGGAGAGAATAGTTAATGCTGCACTTACAGCACCCACGGACCAAATACTGAAATCGTGCAGCAAACAAGTCTCACCATCGCTATAACCACAGGTTAAATCTGCAAAAGACGAGTTGTACATTGATATTTCAGAGCGATATTAAATTTATGTACAGTACAAAATACATATATACAAAAAAAATATATATATAAACATATATGAGGTAAAAAGTTTAAAGTGATTATTGCACAATAGATAAACTTATCTATCTTTAATAAACGTATAAAAAAAGATAGTTTATATATGTGTACTTTTTCACTTCCTTTTATACATAGGTATGTATGTATTTAGAATATTTGTTTTTCATTGAAAGATATCAAGTATGTACTAAACAATAATGTAGGAATCTCTTAATTCAGTCGTAGTAAGAACATTATCAATGACTTACATCCTATAAGCATATAGAGCATGTGTCCAAGACCGTGAGCGATCAGACCCACTATGGAGAAGGCTACTCCGATAGCAATAGGTTTATCCCGGCGAGGAACAGCTCTTAATATAGCCATCCCTTGCATGAGAAATGATGCCGCTGCGAGGAAAAATTGAAATAAATACAATAATTGTAACACAACTAACAGCAGTGATGGATAAATGTATAGAAGCTCCATGTTTAACATTGTTTTATAATTTCTTACGAACTTTTTCTTGATATAAATATCATATTTGTTCATATAGAAGCATTACATACATGAGCTAGAACAAGTCAAAATACGAATGTTTTAATCACATCATAACTTTTACTTACCACTGCTAGCAAGCATGAGTGTGAAGAAAACTAGGTATAAAGAATAAGGCAGCCAGCAGGATGCTAGGTTACAGGCACCACGAATTGCACGTCCAGGGCCACATGCACAGTCACTGAACAGTCTGATAGAATAATGGCTCTTAGTAAGTTAATGAACACCACAAAATTACGATATAATAGTTGGTAAAAGCTATTGGAAACAATTATAATTTTCTTATGCAACTCTGTGTCCACTGAACTGTGATGAAATAGTTTACTGAGTAAGTTCAATCGAGCAACAAATCTTACTTACAAGAATCCTCCTAAGTCTTCATACTTCCGGCAGCCAGCGTGGCACGGAGAAAAATATGTGGTGGAGGTGTTCAAGATACAGACTGGACTGAAGCCGTACTTCTCTGAGATACACCTAAAACAGAGATATAGTTTAATAAATAAATTGAAACACATAAATTTAAATGTTCACAATTTTTCCGGGGATTTTATATACAGGAATTTAGGGACACCTATATTATCTAAGAATTTATGATTGGTGGCCTAGTGGTTAACGGGACCGCCTCTCGTACACGAGGTTCGATCCTGGCAAGTACCAATCAAATATATGTCATATACCAATCATATATATGTCATATATATACGAGTCATATATATACGAGTCATATATATGTACTTTCTCAGAGTACTTAGACACCACTGACAGACGGTGAAGGAAAACATCGTGAGGAAACCTGAACTTATAATTTCACAATTATAAGTTTGAAATCACCAACCCGTCTTAAGCAAGCGTGGTGATTAATGCTCAAACCTTCTCCATGTGAGAAAGAGGCCTTTGCCCAGCAGTGGGCTCTGATAGGTTGATGATGATGATGAGTAATAAAGTTACACATTTTTATTGTTCATTAAATGAGTTAAATCCGCTTGCCCTAATATCAGTTATATCGGCAACAAATCGCAAGTTTGCTTAACACTTAAAGATTAATTGACAAATTTTAACATTCCTATGTAACTTGTAATTTTAATTCGTTTTATTGGAAAAAAATTGTGCCGTAATTTCTAGCTACCTAAAATAATACTATTTTATTTTTGTTCAACTCACCCACACTCCGCGCTACAGGAAGGCTGCTCGTATTCCTCTGTAAGACCTCCGAACCCTGCCAATTCTCCGGTATTACAGTGCAGGCCAGCCAGAACAGCAAAGAAAGCCGCTACCAGAACACACACGGCTCCACCAACACGTGATGCCGTGGTAGACTTCACACCGTCGCTACGACGGCCTGAGAAACGCATGCGGAAAATCTGAAACAGTTACTGCGAATAACATATCTTCTATATATTTTCATGTCTATCCTAAAAGACCATTGGTCAATACAATAACCGTATAGATATTCCTTAAGTACTGAGAGGAAAATGTAGATTAGAAAGACTGAGGTTGAAAGTATGAGTATGAAAAAAAATGAACTCACAGAAACAAAGAAGATAATGACAAGCGATCTAAAGATGTCCATGATTGTTCTCACTGTTCGAGGGTCCTGGCGTAGAGTTTCCACGAAGAACTTAGCCTGGAAGATTTTTACGTGTTTACAATTATAAAAAAAATATATATTTTTCTATTAATAGATGTAAATAATAATTTGGTTAGATAGAGAGAGGAGCTTGGACGGTGGAGGTAAGCGTTTAAAGCGCGTTAGATAGGGATAATTTAAAACGTTAGATAGGGATCCTTTAAAACACCTGTGTCGCAAGTCCCAGGCACTGTTGCAGCTCCTCTCCCTGCAACGCAATGGACCCGGATCCCGCAGTTGAATTCAGTGAATGATAAGAGGTTTCGTCTTAATTTAGGCAAATGATTTAATATAAATTTCATAACTACTAGTAATAACCTGTATGGAGGCAGTATCGAAGTTGACGTAACCAAATACAGCTGTGTTGAGGATTGAGAGAGCCGCTACTTGGAGCATCAACGGTTTATTGCGTAACATACGACCGACTGCAGATAAAACACCTGGAAGAATGACATTAATACAAGTTGAAGAATCCATAAAAAAAAACATTTTTATTTATGAAAATACTAGTCTTTGTCCGCGACTTCGACATTGTTAATTTCGAGAGAAATAATACTTGTATAGCTGACCGGGCCAAATCTATTCTGTTCTAGAGGCCATCAATATTGGATATTATTAAGTTTTTCTTTTTCGATCGAACAGAATTAAATATTCTATGTCTGTCTGGTTCTAAGCTATCTTCCCACCAATTTTTAACAATATTCAGCAGTTCTTAAGCCATAAAAAGTAACTAACACGACTTTCTCTTATATATAAAAGTATTGTATTACTCACAGTTATATTCCAACTCTTCGAAATCTTTATAACCATCCATTTTATGAGGGAATAACGTGAAAAGAATGGAGAACATCAGCGTGAGCATGGCCAGGGAAACTTGAGCCTCCCACCAATCATCACGCACCGACACGTGCTGCAACCAGTTCTGAGCACTTAGACCCAGGGACAACCTGATGGAGATTAGGATACCTGGAATAATGTATTCATAGATACAGACTTTATAGAACTATAGCCTGAATTATACTTACTGTTTATATGTAAAAAAAAACAGTCCAATTATTGATATTTTGAACTTTTTTTTGGGATTCTTATTCGATTTGTCAAGAAAGTTAGTACCATAAATGTTTTGTACAATTTTTTTGGGACTTCTCTCGTTTGCAATATTAGTCTTTCTGCTAATAATTTCTTTGCTGTATAAATTACTTTCTAACGAATATCGTGTATAGGTACATGTTTGGACAGTAAAAAGTATATTTTACCATAAAAGTATGTTCCACTCTCTGGCTCGTGGTCATCTAGGTAAGTGATGCCGTGGGCCCAAACACTTATTTTCGTGAGCGCGCACAGAACAGCCGTCAGCACAAGGAATCCGGTCCTCACTTGAAGGTAATGATCGATTGGTTCCACCTCAACATCATTGTATCCTGATATTGAACCGCCTCCACACAGTTCTTAAAAAAACACAGAATATTATATGATTTACATTTGTATATTTTGCTTGACAAATGTATGAGCATTATATTATACTAGTATAAATAAAAAGTACCAACGAACAGTCAAAATTGAGTCAAATTACTTCCTCAGAAGCATAGGGACCTTTTTAAAATGTCTTTTTAAATGGACATCATTCATTTAAAGTATCTTTGTTTAAAAAATATTTATTTAACCCATATTGTTTATTATTACTCCGTTTTCAGTGAAAGGTATACTAAAATGTTACGACAGATAAATTTTCACCTATTAAATATTTTCCAACTACCCTTCACACAAAAACAACGGAAATGACGTCTCTATATTATTTTCTATATTAATCTCAAACACATCAATAACATTGTAATCAGCTTAAACGATTATTACATTTCAGTGTGGTCATTAGCACAGTATCTCATAATTAATATTACTAAATATTATACAATTTGATAATAATTATCATCTTAATACGTCATGGGTTTACGTAATGATCCTTACGGACAGATTGTCGGCCGGAGTCAGGGTATGGGAAGGCGAGGACGATTAGACCAGACACCGCTGTCAATCCCAGCCACCCAGATAACGCGAAGTGTCTAAAACCTCTCCCAGACCAAGCCACCAAAGAACCCAGCAGGAACTCAGCTCCAGCCACGCCGATCTTCACCCAATCTATAGAAATCGGTTTCATTATAAATCAGAACATATAAAAAATCGGTCACTATGACTGGCAAATAATAAAGCTATTAATTTGTTTGTTTAGTTTAATGCGCATAATAGATGATTTAGAAAAAATCTCGACGAACCTTCATTGATTGATGATAAGTATCCCGTGCCAGCATTTCTTCGTATTAGAAGATATGAGTAGCTCTCCAAGAACACCACTATAAGTAGAGCTCCCTGCAGGAACAGGTCGAAACGAGGAATGGTTAGGATATACCTCCGGAGAAGGTACCAGCCTTTAGCGATGACTGTAAACAGTAAAAGAAAGATTACTACGCGTATTCTATTATTTTAAAACAACATTCTCCCGACGTTTTGGTTACTTTTCAGCGACTGTGATCACGGTTGTTGAAAAATATGCGTAGTAATAATTTAAATAAAGATTTTATTATTTTAAAACTATATATTCCCGATGTTTCGGTTACTTTACAGCAACCGTGATCATTAAGACAAGATGTGAATTTAAATGAATACTCGCGAAAGTCTTAGATCTCATTATGATGACAAGAAAGAGTCTGCTTAATGATATGTTCTAAAATTACACTATTAACTTAAATATTCGATCGATAACAAAACCTATTCATGAAATGGTTATAAACATTGTTTATATCTAATTTGATCTTGAAATTTGTTATAATTATATTAAGTAAAAAATAAATTTTATAGACATATGGATATTATTAAATATAATTGTAATGAATTTGATTTGAATAAAACATTTCTTATCTTAAGATGTAAGTCGTATACACTGAGAGTTCAATGGGAAAGTTTTAAGGAAATTACTTCAAACGATCGAATTAATTAAGCAATGGATAAGATATCGTTATAACAAGAAAATATACATTTAATTATAAAATATCTGTTTAAAATGTATAAAAATTGTAATATATTTTTATCTAATTCAAAACACGGATCTTTTAATACGCCGTTTTATGATTTTTATGTTTCTGTTTGTTTTCTTATTTTGACTGAAATAAATGTTTAAAATACGCTTATATTAAAGAAAAGTGTTCTATTAATATTATAGTATATAGCGAAATTTTTAATTTGTTTATTATATTTCAAAAAAAATCCCAAAAATATAATCTTGACATACCCATCATTTCTGTATAATATATCAGAAAACTTCAACTCCTTAATCTAAATATAATTAAATCAAAAGTATGTGTATATTCCACTATTATCACAAATTTAAGAAAACGCGAAAGAGGTTGTTCAGGTCGAAAAGCTTACTAGAGAAGCTTTTCCTCATTTTATCCCTGAACGTCAGGTAAACACGCGCTTTGAGGGCCCTTGACAAAACTGAACTGAATGTATCGATTTCTTTATCTGAATCTGATAATTTCATTTATTATTTAAAGCTGTTATCAATCTTTTAATCTTAATTATTTTTTTTGTATCACCAACATGTTTTTCTATAGCATTGGGATAAGATAGTGTTCTCTTGAATTTGTTTTATAACATGTGTTTTTATAACTTATGTGGTCATTTGGTAAAATTTCCTGGGGTTTTAGATACCAGCTCTAAAAGTTTCTTATTTGTTCATTAATTGGAGATATTCAGTAAAGATACTTCAGAATGAATACTGGTGCAGAACTGTATCCCAGAAGGAGGCAATGACGACTGAAACAGCCTCGCTGTAAAGCATCTTTAATATGATACTTATCAGCAAAATTGTGCTGTCACCTCGGCCGCTTGTTCAGCGTGGTTTAACGCCACACATTTCTCTAATATATAATATGTAATGTATGTATGTAACCACTTTCGTTGTGATCTTGTGCAGTTATTGTTCAAAACAGCCAGTCAATGAGAGTTTCTGTACAAGATGGAACTTTAGAGTTCTTTGCCACCTGCCTGTTGACTGTTTGAGATAAGGACGGGTCACACACACGTTTACAGATGTAAATACCTACCACTTGACCACAATCACCCCCACCGAATTGTTTTGACCAATGATCATACAAACTTAAAGCAGTCTAGCTTAAATTTTTTTAGTAAAAAACGGGAAAGTTTCGAAATTTTTACTCGTATACAATTACATTATAACATGTATGATAGTGTATCCTTATACAAAATTCCTTAACAGGAATCTTTTGTGGATGAAGTAAAAATCTATTAAATATATATTAAGTAAAACTAATAATAATTCATTATATTGAAACAAATATTTGTAAGATCAACATGAAGGGATGTTTTTGAAGAAGGGATTTTGTTATAATGCATGAAGTCTGCCAAACTTGCTATAACCTAAAGAATGTATAGTGACCATCCCCTAAAATCATATCTTAGGACAGTTAACATAATTTGACTCGACCCTCTTTCTTTCCCGTTTTTATGTTATTTTCTGTTTTTCACTTGTTTCTCAGAGAGCTTTGATTTCAATTGATAAAAATAAAAAGAATTTTTTACTATATAAGAAAGAAATCTTAATAAAACTATTAGCTTATATTGTGTATGTATGAAATATACATACGATGGATTATATTTATGTGATAATCTTATAAATAATTGCATCTCTCAAGTCATTTGAAATAAGATGTCACTGTTATCTCATTTCCTATTTGAACCTTGATAGAGACCGAGTCAGTTATTTTATTATTTTAACAATATATATTTATTTATAATATGAAAAGTATAAGTTTAATAGTTTTGTATGTTTGTGTGTGTTTCGAATGTGTTTTGTGTAATGACGGTAAGTACTATCTAATGTCATACATATTTTAAATATAAAGGTGTTTATTATAAAAACTTCATCGAAATAGTGCTGGAAATAATCTATTAACTATTAAGTATATACATATGTATATTCCAAAAATATTTTTCCATATCAAATGTGGCTAGTGAAGAAAATTTCAATTAAATTAAGAAGGAATTATTTACTGTTTTGATTATATTAACTTTTTTGTGTATCTTATTAATTTATTTATTTATATGTTTTCTATTTTATTTATTTTATGGTATGATTTGTATATTTAAGAAAAGTGCAATATATAAATATAACTATTTATATATGTATGCATGCACGTATGTATGAATTTATGTGTATTTTCTCATCTGAGAAAATGTATGAATTAAGCAAGCAGTCTTTTGACTAGTTTTATTAAGTATCCAAGACCCAAATACATTTTTTTTCTAATAGATCAATTGAGCAACTTTTGTGTACTCAAAAGAAAGCATTTAAAGAAACATATTTTTATCGTCATTTTCTGCAGTATCGGAGTAATCGTTAAAGTAAGAACATTACTACATATGTGTGTTGATAAAAGATATATCTTTATCTTTGAGTGAAACTTTTAAGACAAATATTGATAAAGTAATTAACTTAATGAGACGAAATATCTTAGCATAAAATGTATTCACCGTGCGGGTACCGGGTCCATCGTACTAGGGAGAGGAGCTTCAACAGTGCCTGGGATTTGTGACCCAGGTATAGGTTTAAGGGGACCCTATCTAACGTGCGATAAACGCTCACTTCCACTGTCCAAGCTCCTCTCAAGTATTCTAAAGTATATTAAGAATATAATTCTTATAATTGTTGTAAAAAAAATTACCTACTTTGTGTTTTTTTTCTAACTGTCCAAGCTCCTCTCCCTACCTAACTAAATTTGAAAACAACCTAGTAGGGCTGCCTTCGAAGTACGATCCAGACAAAATCTTTGAACTAGGTCCCATTTAGTGAGTCAATATTATCAATAAAACAGTTGTCGTTATAGTCCAATTTAATATATTCCTAATTCCTATATTTTTTTACAGATGATGTGAACTCTTCAGATAATTTAGAAAATTCTACCTTCATCAGCGATTTCCCCGAGCCTCCAGTCTGTGGGATATCTAAAAATGGTTTTTACACAAAAGTTGTGGGTGGAGTAGATGCTAATCTTGGTAAGAATTAAGATCTCAAAACTATCATAATACTTATGTTTTGTATGCTACTTATTAAATATTCAGAAACTTAGAGCTTGGAAAACAAGCTATATGAAGAAGACGATTTAATTAATATGAAAATTCTATCAATCTCATTTCATTATAATTATTGTTTATTTTTCTTTCTTGGAGATTATTATATCACGCCTGCTAAATACGGTATAGCACCTTATTTAATAGGCTTGAACAACAAGGTTATAATAGCAAGAGTCCTCCTTTAATTGAGTGATTATTACAGTACTGAGTAATAAAGTCAAATAACATATTTATTTATTTAAGATTCACCAGTGGTAAATACATCAGTACGTACAAAATTATACAATTTTTATACAACTTAAAACTAAATGCATTACTTATTAAGGTGAATACCACTTGCAAAGAAAAATTGGAGATGACAAGCTTACAAATAATTAATTGTTAGTAAATTAAGGTTAAAAATGACAAGGATTAACAATAATAGTAAAATATTAACATACAAATATAAACAAAAATAAATTAATTGGATGACAATTTTGACAATATTTTTTTTGTGAAACTTGTTATATTTATACCAGGTTCAATATTTAAGTTGGTATTTTTCTTTTAAGGTGAATTTCCCTGGATGGCCCTACTTGGATACAATGATAGTTCAGGGAACGGCACGTTTTGGGCTTGTGGAGGGTCATTGATCTCTCAACGTCACGTCCTGACAGCGGCGCATTGTATACACAACCATGACGAATTGTTAGTAACATTTCCATTAACAACTAAAAAATAATATTTGAATAGTAATTTTCAATTTGAAGAGACGCTACGAAGTTTTTAAAGTTATCCCAAGATAAAAGTTACATTCTAAAGGAATTTTTAGACTGAAAGACTGAATATTCTGAGAGTATACATAGAATATCTCTGTATGAACATGTTTTTATTGTCTGATGCTACTTCTACTTCACGTTAGAAGAATATTTACTTGGATAAGATATTAGATTGCTGTAGGTGGTGAAACAAATTTGGAGAATATAAAAAAATAATAATATATTAATTAAAATACAAACATTAAAAACCATCTACATAAATTATATTAAATAAATATTTGAGGTAAACTAAACAATGCCATTAGTACCAGAAAAAAGTAGAACGGAGAAGAATGTGTTCGTAAGACTTGTATTAACAACAACACGGTTTAATTATTCTATTTTAAATTTTCTTTTCATCTACTAGTAATCACGGCTGCTGTAAAGTAAACGAAACGTCGGAAAAACATTTTATTTTAAATATATGATGTTATTTGTATGTAGATATCTGGTCCGCTTAGGAGAACTGGATGTTCTTCGTCATGATGATGGAGCAGCTCCTGTCGATATTCATATTAAAAGTAAGATAGAACATGAAGAGTACAGCGCTAACTCATTTCAACATGACATCGGACTTATAATATTGGAAACTGATGTTGTATTCAGTGGTGAGTTTTGTTGTATTTATTTCCCAAAAATATCTTATTCTATTTACTTCGATTATTTTAATCGACTGCGATAAAGTTAAAAGCGAGGGTTGTGTTTACGATAAATATGTAGAAGTGTAGGTTGTTATATATGTATCTAAGATATCCAACAATTAATAGATTTATTAGATTATTTTATAACTTTTCGAAAGTGAAAAAATGATGTGAGTAAATATTTCAAAGGTATACTTACTCTATAATTATGCCTTTTAGACCAGTGCCGATAGATTTTAAAACATAATTAAATTATAGTAGAATGAAACCCATTAGAAAAGGAGGGGAATATTATAAAAATTAAGGGAAAAATAATTTACGGGCGATCTGAGGTCGGGAAGGGTACGGGCGTGGGTATGTAAGCTTAAAAATGGGTTTTCTCGATTTCCGGAAAAACTAAGAGTCCTAATGAAAAATGTTATATGGCAAAGTTGTAGGTAATAAAAAGATCTAAAACTTTTGTATTAACATTTTTTTCACATAACCTCAAATTTTATGTGAAAAATTCGAAAATCCAAGTTTTTGATTTTTTATTTTTATCTTTTACAAAAAACTATATTTTGTCACGAAATTTTTTGAAAACTTTCCCTTTGATATCCCAAATACACTGTAATTTATTTGATTAGAAATATTTATTTTTTCAGCTTATTTTGAATAAATATAAAAAAATCAGCATCATTTCAATCGAAAAATCACCCGTCAAAATATTAGCGTTTTTCAAAAATTTTGTGTGTTTTCTGTTCGTTGAAATCTCTATTTTCCGATGGTGAAGAATTAAATATAAATTTCTAACTTGCAGTACCATTTTTGGATAAAATAATCATGTCCCTTTTAATGAAATGACACTCGATATCGTTTGGAAAATGCTCTTTCAATTTATTTTTAATAGTTTTAGCAGCTTAATGTCAATTTTCTGTAAATTACCTAAAAGAGGGACTATCGTGAGGACTTCCAGAGTACACAACTATTAAAAATTACAGTGTATTTGGGATATCAAAAGAAAAGTTTTCACAAAATTTCGTGACAAAATATTGTTTTTTGTAAGAGATAAAAATAAAAAATCAAAAACTTGGTTTTTCGAATTTTTCACATAAAATTTGAGATTTTGTGAAAAAAATGTTAATACAAAAGTTTTAGATCTTTTTATTACCTACAACTTTGCCATATAACATTTTTCATTAGGACTCTTAGTTTTTCCGGAAATCGAGAAAACCCATTTTTTACCTTTAAGTACCCACGCCCGTACCCTTCCCGACCTCAGATCGCCCGTAAATTATTTTTCCCTTAATTTTTATAATATTCCCCTCCTTTTCTAATGGGTTTCATTCTACTATAATTTATTTTCACTTTTCATCATTTTTAGAGGCATCTGCACTGGTCTATTTAACGGATTCAAAATTTTGAATCCTCTTGTTTAGAATATAAGAAAAATATTGATATAAAAGCTCCAGGTTCCGAAATCTGAATAACAATAATGAAAAAATGTGCTAGTATATAAACTCATTTTATGAACAAACTTAAAAAAACACTTAACAGATTTTAACTTAATCTGATAGACTTTTATTTAGTCTAAATTCCGTTTTTTGGTCTCTTTCTCGCTCAGCTATCAGACTTTGAATAAAAATAAATAATTTTGTATTCATTCTATGTTTTGAGAGGCCCAGAGTGGTACCGAATACCATGGGTGGTTTAGAAATACTCATTTTTGATTGTAATGTTTTTTCGTCTAAACATTTACAGCATATTTAGGATTCTTTTAGAAAACTACTTACCTTTTGGAAATATAAGGGAAATAATACACTTTGATCAATAAAATTCAAAGTCCCACACGTCTAAGGTTTAGTGTGAAAGGTTTAAAAAATTATTGAACAGCATACCCTATATTTATTTTAATATCCTCACTATTTTAAAAAATGTATTTGTTATCAGACCTTATCAGGCCAATTTGCATACCATTGCTTCCGGAATTACGCAACAACTTGTTTGACGGCTACAATCCATTTCTAGCCGGTTGGGGATACAATGAATTTCCTGGCCACGCAAACATACAGTTTAGTGAGTATATCACTGTTTATCAACTTTTATTTATCTTGAAGATCTAATATACCAAACTACACGTTGATCCAATTGTAATTTCCATGGCGGCAAAAAAAAAGACAAACTTGCAAACAATTTGCTTAAATGGGCTTTAAGGGGGCATTTGATAAAATGCAAATACATTTATTAATCTTCAAGATTTAATTGCTAAGTAACACATCTATCAAATGGTAATTTCCATGGAGGCAAAAAAAACAGATGGTCTGAGATGTGGTGAATAGACTATATTAACTAAACATACTTATTAATCATTATATACTACGTAAGCTAATTTTGTACCTATTTAATGTACAATTTATTAGAAATAAAGACAGTATCTATTCAGCAGTCTCGGCTTTCATTCCTCTCTCAGGGCACCACATTACATGTCCATCAAACGCTTTACTTGAATGGACTTTACAGAGTGTTTTAAGATGTATAATATAAGATTTTGCTAATGTTCTGTTTGAGGTGGTACTAGTAGATTGCCCTGATTGATTCTTCTTCTCCAAGGATTTGGTGATCATCGGAAATCACACCTGCAAAAGGTGTCTCTGCCAGTCACTAGTCTTTCTCAATGCCAGGACGTTTACAAGAGTTATGGAAATAGGCTACGGATAGATGAGCAGGTGATATGTGGTGGATATGAGGAGGGAGGCAAGAACTCCTGCAAGGGAGACAGCGGAGGTCCTCTCATGCTGCCTAATGTTAGTTGACCTGTTTCGTTTAACTTAATATTTTTGGTGGTAGAGCCTAGCTGTAATCAGTTACTACAGCTCGAACATGGGCTGGCTCGACCGGGAAAGTACCACCCTCTCACAAAAGATCGGCGTGAAGTAGCCTTTTATGGCTGCGTTTCGTCCGACGAGTGAGAGAGCCGGTTGCCCTTTCCTTATTCCCACCCTTTCCTACGATTTCTTATTCCCACCCCTCCCTATCCCTACAAAACAAGGTTGGCAATGCATCCGCAATATAGATGTTGTGGATGTCCATGGGCGACGGTAACCACCTTCCATCAAGTGGGCCGTCTGCTCGTTTGCCAGCTTTCACATAAAAAAATAATAATAAATATTTACTGAAATCTCTGTTTAAAATAGCAAATATAAAAGGTTCATGAAAGTAGAGAATGTTCTTGTTTGTTTCTTTCATTGTAACTGCCTTCAGAAACATAATATAAATAGCACTTACTTTGGAATTTAATTGCTAACTGTTTATATTTTTAACTAATTTAGAGTTTTTTGTAGACCAACTCGGCACGCCAAGTATATTTCTACCAAATTGGGATTGTATCATTAGCTCCGTTATGCGCATTGAAGAATTATCCCACCATCTTCACGAGGGTCACCCACTACATACCGTGGCTACAGAAACAGGTTTTGGGAAAAACTAATTGAATTCAATAAAATAAAAGAATGTCAAAGACTTGATGTTTGTTTATTAAAATAATAAATTGATAATAACTAGATATATTGACTATTTTACTTCTTAATCTGAGAATTTAAAAAAATACTGTTATAATTCTATTATTGAGTGAAGCGAGAGAAGCGATCGGAAAGCTATACTTGCGATTCAGGTCATTCATCCACGGAGATGATCTCTCCAACCGAATGTCCATTGATTAGAGGATTTTTTAATAAACCAGTATACTTGCTATTTATAAAATACTTTATCGGAAAACTCATGTCCAAAAAATAGCGGCTTGGTATAAAAACGCTGAATTCGCTTCACTCGATAGGCACCAAGAGCTTTTTTTTCGGGAGAAGCGAGAAAAAAATTATCTCCTACTAAATAAACAACAATATTAATGTCTGCCACTTAGCAAAATGAATCTATATATATAAAAATGAATTGCTGTTCCTTAGTCTCATTAAAACTCGAGAACGACTGAACGGATTTACCTTATTTTAGTCTTGAAATGTTCGTGGAGGTTCAGGGAAGGTTTAAAAGCTAAAAAATTTGATTCATTTCCGGAAAAACCCTAAAAACAGCCCTTTTCTATTTCCCATACAAACTTTTTTTTTGACATTAGATCTGACAAGAAATATGTCAATCATTCTGTCGGACTTCAAAACACGGAGATTTATGGCTTAAAGGTAAACTCCAAAAATATAAATAAAAAACGTAACAGATATTTTTTGATTATAGAGCGATACGAAGTTCGCCGGGTCTTTTAGTGTTTATTAATTTGCTTACAATGAAAACAATTTACTCAAGTTATAACTATACTCAAGTCACATTCTTTAAAAATGAGAAACAAGTTATTTCAACGTTGTAAATACAATAAGATGTGTCTTCAAAAACAAAACAATTTAGTTTATATTCTCAAAGTTTATTAAAAAAATAATAATTATTATACTTAATAATGTCTTCCTAGGCAGATCTTATTATAGAATTTGTTTCGACATTTTTATGCCACTATTTGGTGACAATAAATAATTAGTTATATGTTTGTCAAACTCGTAACAAAATAAATCATAAAAGTTGTTAATTTAAATATTTTGTTGTTCTAGGCAGATCTTTTTTTGTTTTAATTGCAGCACTGACATAAACACACTGCGTTTAGAAATATTGATATTTCAGTAAAAGACATTCGCATTAAAAATACTGTTATTTATTATAATAAATAATTCAAGTAAAGTATTATAATACAAGTAAACAATAAAAAAGTGTTATTTGCGTATTGTGTAAAATTTGTGTGTTATTTTAACAATTCTTTGTATCTAAAACTATGGGTTGTTATATTATATAATAATTAAAAATAAATCCTTGGTACGAGTTACATCTCGCCCTTTGATAGATCAAGACAAAAAAGACAACAGTAATAAAAAAAAGAAAGAAAATTACAGTAAGAAAGAAACATAAGTAACAAAAGACATTAGTTTTCCATGATTTGTCTCTGTATCCATGGCATGTAGTATGTTACCCTGGAATATACCCCGGGGTAACCAGCATCAGCACAATATCTACCGTAAGCGATAACACCGATCTGGTAGAAATAATACACTTTCTTCTCTTGATTATACTGAAAAAAACAAAAATTATTTTAATATAATGTTAAGAAAATTTCTTCATGGTTAAGTTTATTGATTTTTTATTTACGACTAGTTTTTGCCCGCGACTTCGTCCGCGTTAATTTCATCATCTTCTATATATATAAAAATGGATTGCTGTTCCTTAGTCTCGCTGAAACTCGAGAACAGCTGAACGGATTTATCTTATCTTAGTTTTGAAATGTTCGTGGAGTAAAAGTACCTTTTAAACCTTCCCTGAACCTCCACGAACATTTCAAGACTAAGATAAAATAAATCCGTTCAGCCGTTCTCAAATTTTAGCGAGACTAAGGAACAGCAATCCATTTATATATATATATATATATATAGAAGATATACAGTTTTCTGTGACATCTAACTTTAAAAACATGATTGATATAAAATTAATGGTGTAAAAGTTATATCATTACTTAATTTTTCGACAAAATGCGATTGTAGGATTTATTTTTGGCTTACAAAAGGCTGTATGAGTGGTCCCCCGCTATCACCTTTGCAGGAATCGCGTCCCCACGCTTCAGCACACAAGACCTTATCATCAATCATCACAGGGTACTTCAAGTATGACTTCTTACACTTTCTGTTATCCACTACTTGCAACTGAGTCACTTTGAGATGGCTTGACGTATTGCCACCTTAATAACAATATCTGGGTTATATATAACTTCTAAGTAAAAAAAGACGCTAAATTGCAGTTAATACAAAAATATTGGCAATTATTTTACATGGTCACAATGTCCAGAATTCAGAATGACTTGTAACTAATTGATTTGTATAATACTAACTATTAGATGTCGTTCCCCAGCCAGCGACTAACGGACTGTAGTTGACGAACGTGTTTGATAGTAATTCATCAAGAATTGGTAGACAAATAGGCCGTATAAAGTCTGAAAATAAAATCATCTGCTATACTTTGTTATTTATACACTATAGGAACTACTCTTGACTTTTCCGAATTGAATAGTTTTTTTAATATTATTATAAAAATACATAACATTTTTTAAATAGGAATAGTCTAAGGTCTTTCTTTTGGTATCAGATTTTTTTGTGTGTAACTCACCTGTGAACTCGACTTCTGTTACAAGTACGAGGAGTCCTATGTCATTAGTGAATGTATTTATGTCATATTCTTCATGTTTTACTGCTTTTTGTATGAGGACATCTATTGCATCTGCTTCATCATCACGATCCAGATCCAATTCTCCGAGGCGGACCAGGTGTCTATCAGGAGTATAATGGTGTTAGATTATTGACTAAAAAGTTTACTAACTCTAGTTTTGGTTAAAGTAAAAGATATGAATGTTTAAATAAATTTATTGGCCCTGGCAAGTACCAATGTGATTTTTCTGAGTCATATGTACTTCCTAATAGTATTTAGACATCACTGATTAATGCATTCCCAAAGAGGAATGATGTCAGGCAGGCGGCCGGTCTTAAAAACAATTAGCCAAAACTATTCACACATGTAAGGCAGACCCTGGCTAAAGCTGGGAAATTGCCAGGTAGAAGAAGAAGAAATTTAAATAAAACTTAGATTTAAGGATATACTACGCGTTTTTTCTTGAACAAAATCAACTGACAGACATTTACTTTTCGTCTGCCTGTGATCACGGTTGTTGCAAAGTAACCGAAACGTCGCTAGTATGTAGCTGTAATAATAATAAAAAAAACGTAGTACATCCGTTGATCTTAGATTTATTTAAATGAAGATACGAAAGAAAGGAGATATCATTAAGATATAAATAGTTTTAAAGTTTTGCTGGAGCAAAGTAACGCGTATTACATATAATTATTATGTATTCGATTATATATTTTTCCAATCACTAAATAAGTTACAGTACTGTGTTTGCGAGAAAAACACAAAAAAAAAAAATATTACGTAGCCATCGATTTAGAGTCAAAAAAAATTCTGAAGAATGTGTGGTTTTTTTAAAATAATATATTGTTTAAGAAAGTCAGCGATGGCCTAGTGGATAAAAGCGTCCGCCTCTCGTGCACGAGGGCGCGGGTTCGATCTTGGCAAGTACCAATGTGATTTTTTTGAGTCATATGTACTTTCTTAGAGTATTTAGACATCACTGACATACGGTGAAGGAAAACATCGTGAGGAAACCTGGACTTATAATTTCACAATTATAAGTTTGAAATCACCAACCCGTCTTGAGTAAGCGTGGTGATTAATGCTCAAACCTTCTCCATGTGAGAGGAGTCCTTACAGCAGTGGGCTCAGATAGGCTGATGACAATTGTTTAATTTCTAATATATGTTTGTGTATATTTATTATCGACTCACAAGTAATTCTCTTTGCGATGTATGCAGTGAGCGGCCGTGAGAACATGTCGTGAGGAGACCAGTGAACCGCCGCATCGCCACTCGATTTTCCTGTTCGACCCGCGTTGATCTGACCTCTCCCAGTAACCCAAAATGCCCATCCAGGGCAAGTCTCCTACAAAACAGAACCATTAATTTCGGCTCCAAGTTCATATACAGGGTGACTGGTGAATTACAATCGATACTTGAGGACGTGATATTTGACGATCATATATGACAAAATAAAAATTAATATAACATAAATATTAATAAACTTCTAAGTAAAGTTAACCAAAAGTTATGTAATTAATTACGCATCGTGTGAACACCCTACAGATTAGGTATACACACACACACACATACGTGGTGTTGTATCAGCACGCCGCCGCACGCGTCCACACTTGGAACACTTGGAACGTGTCAACACTTTATTTATTTATACGGAAATTTTGTCAAAAATTAAGTGCCTATTTTTTTACATAATTCGAATGAGAATCATGTACCGAGTATTCTCCTTAAATATTGATAGTAATTCACCAGTCACCCTGTATATCAGAAACCAAAGCAATCATATTAATTTACGTAATTTTTGTAACAAATTAACTAATCAGTGAACTAACTGCATATAGATCATTTAAACGATATTATTGTAGCGATTTTAACTGATATATAATTATCGTATTCTTAATTTCGTCTGAAACAGAAAAACCTATCTCCAAAATAATAAACCATATTATTACGAGTATATATCTAACAAAGCAATTATTTAACAGTTATATTGTGGATTGTTTGGTAAAGATAAGTTACCGTGTCTGGCATTAACACCTCCCACCACTCGGCCAGACGTTGCATTTGACACTCCGCAAGTTGGTGGTGACAGAATTGGTGATTGAAGGTTCATCATTCGAGCTGACCCCTTAGATCTAACGTCAATAGGAGGTACAAGGCCACGAGAGGATGAAGATTTAGGTGTAGACTCAGGACAGCACACCTGAAAATTAATTATTCTTATTTTTAATATGAAAGTAATAAATAAAAATATATCTTATCTAGAAATAAATCGATATAAAAGTGGAAATTTTACTTTATTCTTGTTCATGAGCATTGATTGGAAACTATGTATATTTTAACTCTTAATTTCTGAGTATGTTAAATGTATTTTTTTTTTTGTACTCATATCGAAATTGTTATTAATAACTATGTACCTTAATAATAGATTAATTTTGGACCCTTAAACACTGTAATGTTATTAGCCTACGAATTTCGTATATTGTACATAAAAACTAAATATTTGTAATCAATACATTTACTAATTTAACAAAGAATATGATTTTTTCATTATCTGTCTACCTTACGTCTTGCTTTTATTTAAAATATATATATTGCACCTTGAAAAACAAATTTCGAGAATAGGTTGAAGAAATCATAAAACCATAATAATGTTTAAAATCTCTTATGAAGTTGAATAAAAAATATCTGTCATAATAAGCCTGACCTAACCTTTTCCCGGTTCCTGATAAACAATGGCTCGGTAACTGCTACACGGATAGTATAATGCATAATTTCAGAGAAACGAGCTAGTGATAAGACCCCTCCCCGCGCCCCGCGCCGCATTTACTTGCGTAGGGTATTAGATTCTAATGTTAACGAATTCTTTTCCCACCCTGTATAAGCTTTTTTTGTTTTGATGTCGCGGGAAACTCTTTTTACGAGCTGTCCAACCGGCCTTGGTGGGGCCGGAAGGGATGTGTGAGACTCGACCTAGACAGGCTCCTACTCACTAAAACCACTGCAAAAGCCATCTGCCGCTATGTCGGTGTACCCCGGATCTGTCAGCGACAGGGTACACCAGCGACTGGCTGGTCTTGGCAAATACCGGACTTACTCCCTCGGAATATCGGGGCGATCCCGGCAATTAGGACCCCGACGGCCCCGACGACGCCGGGCTTTCACAGGAGCCGGATTACCACGCCGACTCCAGCCTGGAACACAGGGGTGCTATTGGAGGCGTTGGTATTGCCTCCGTCGCACCCCCGTATGTCGCCTGCGGAAGAAGGGTGCATCAGCCATCATCTCCTTCATGGATATGACCGTCACAAAGAAGGAGGACACCAGCTAGCCAGGACCTGTCACTCTCGAGCATCTTCTCCACGACACTCGAGAGCGACAAGTCCACTCCGCCGAGAGCCGCCACGAGGTCTTGGCGCTGCGCAGCCGATCTCGGGCACACCTCGAGGGTGTGCTGGGCAGAATAGTATAATATAACCTTACTTTATATTATCGCGATAATAATTCTATCTCGTATACTTTTTATTTTGGTAGCACTAGAAAAACATATCTTAATACATTGAATGTATTAGAAAACGTGGGCAAAACAAAGATAATAATTTTTCGAACAAGTGAATTTCATTTGAACATAACATAATGTTTTTGAAGTTGGAGTGAACCAACATATTAATTTTCTCACCATAGGATCGTTTCCCTCAAACCCACAGTGCGATTCCTTTAGAAGTGTTCTGTATTGACTGATGGGTTCCGTCTTCATCATCAGAACAAACGGAGAACAGGATTTTATGGAGACACATCTTCCAGTAACACCATTGCAAGTTTCCTCTCTTCCATATTCTGGTGAAACGTTTTAATAACTTTAATATCATTTTTCACTAGAATTTTGTTACGTGTTATTTCATTATATGTAGAATAAATTTCGCTAACATTTCTAGAATAATATTCTTATATTTCTTTATTGGATCACAATTCTATATTTCTCAAGTATATTAATATTATTTAAGCAGACCCTGTCTAAAACTGGGAAATTGCCAGGTAGAAGAAGTAATATAATATTATTTCAAAAAATTACAAATTAATGTATTAATAACCAAAAAATAAGTATTTTGAAAGCTATATTATACAGAAATAAATCAGCAATGTATTAAATAAGCTTAAAATTTCATTTAATCGTTAATAACAATAAATGAATTCAGTTCTTTAAGTGTAATTGACTCACCGATAAGAGAGGACGCTCTTTGAAAACAGAGACACAATAGTAATACTTGGACGACCATTTGTTAATAATAATGTTTTCTAAACTAATCTTCATTTAAACCTTCCTTTGTAAGAGTATGTTTTATTATGATTACTGTGACCCTGATCTTAATTCTGTAATTTTTGATCCGATGTTTTCGTTAGGGAAGATAAACAGTACCAATACCGAAACCACTACGAATACAGAGTTCCGATAACGGTTTTAATGAACATATTATTTGCAATCGATTATTTTCCATTGAAACGATATTACGCATCTGAATTTCAAAGAATTTCTTTGTACATTTAATTTAATTTTATGGAAACGTTATTGAGTTAGCGAGACTTAAAAAGCACCTCACTTTTACCAAGATATTTGTTAAGTATAAGGTGAAAATAAAATTGAAAAAAAGCATAGGAATAATTGATTTTCGATATCAGCTAACAGAAAACATATACCTTACTAGAATATAAATGTTTTTTCTTTGAACATGATTTAAATATTAGTAATTTTATTTACGATTGTTCTGACCAATTATTTAGTAATCATTTATAAGGAAATTTATTGTAAAATAAAATTTTTTATTGTATGTATTCAGGAAGCTGTTCCTTATCAGTTACTCGTATGATAAGGAACTATAAAATACTAATACATAATACCGCTTAAGTTATAAACAGTAAATAGGCGCTATCAGCTTTAATAACGGATGCGACATGAAAATAATTTGATCCTGTCATCAATTATTATTAAAACTCATTAGTATTCATGATTAGTGTTAAAAGTAAAACGAAATCAAAGATTGTTTAAAAGGAGAATAGAACTATGTTTGAACCTTGGCCTTGGCTGAAGAATACATGGAAGTGCTTGGACGTGTATAACAGAGCTCTAAACATCTAATATTTTCGCAAAATAAAATAAACAGTGTTAAGTGATTTTAGTGCTAATTAGCTGACTTATAAAGTGCAAAACAATACTATCAAAGTTTGAACGTGTGTTTAAATGCACTCGTCCCGAGCGCAGTGCCTCACCCCCGCTAGAAGAGAATCGTTGCTATTTTTTATCTTTGTCTCTCGGCTTTCGATGGATAAGCTACTCGTAGCATAAGGATGAGTGCGCAAGCGTCACCGTCTAGCGGAAAGCATACAAGACGCAGCGGAATTATGATGAAGACGAATTAAATGTAAACATACACCCACGAAAGCGGAAAGAACGGGGTCACGAATATGACTATAAAAAAAATTTTGCTGATTTTCGTTCTGACATAATGAAATTATTAGAAGGATTTGCAAAAACTCAAAATGAAAACATGGGTTAAATTCGCCAGGAAATGATGGAAATAAACAATGAAATTAAACATATCAAATCTGCTTCCGAAGATCTAATTATGCAATATAAAAACATAAATAAAGATTTACAGATAATAAAAAAGGAAAATAAATTAAACCAAGAAAAAATTAAACATATTGAAAACGAAATTACATATTTAAAAATTAATAAAATTAATAATCATGTTGCTGAATCGCCAACTCCTCTCCACGAAAACCTCATACTGGAGTCTAAAGACCGCTGCGACCGGGAAAAAAATATTATTATAGTGGATATTCCTGAAATAAATAATAGAAATTATACCATCAGACAAAAATATGATAATGAAGAAATATTAAAAATTATTACATTGTATGAAAATTGTCCTGCTCCTTTAAAATGTATGAGACTTGGTAAATACATTCCAGATAAAAACCGGCCGATAAAAGTATGCTTTTAAATACCTATTACGAAATAAATCTAAATTGTCACAAAAAATATACTATTCCGATCAAACAGTGACTCAGAAAAACTATATGAAGTATCTTCGTTCTGAACTAAAGCGAAGAGAAGATTCAGGTGAATCTGACCTGGTTATAAAATACATAAATGGAGTACCTAAAATAATTATAATTAATGCTCCAAAAAACTAGTCCAATCAAATTTACAGACAAACAACATAAATAAAACAACTAACCTTTAACACTCCGTAACAAATAATTATAATCATCAGAAGATGATGCGACCCAGTACAAATTAAATACTATACACATATCTACAATTATAGACAGAATTGTAAAGGTGGCGGAGTTTTGATCTTTATTCATAACAGTATTCAATACGACGTAACTGAAAATTTACATGAAAACTATAATCACTGTCTATGGATATAATACCAAAAATGTCTTTAAATGTAGGAGGTGATTACAAACCAGGTAACACTGATTTTACGAATTTTTTGGAGGTGTATACAATGCAAATTGAAAGAAGGAAGACGTCAATTGTCTTTGGTGATTTTAATTTAGATTTATTGAGCACAGACAAATATATCGAACAATACTTAACCAACCAATATTGAATAAAAGTGATGAAAAATGTTGTACTCCTGAAACTTCAAGAACAAAAACTATTCTCGATCATGTGTCTACAAATATCAGTAATAAGGAATTGAAACTTTCTCTAATTGAATCATCATTAAAATAAACTTAAAATATATATATTTGTAGGACTAGCCATTCCATGTATCAAATATTAATGTATGTGTGTAACATTATTTAATATCATGTAAGTGAACCTATGTATGAGAATGAGAATAAAGATCTTTAACCATTAATCAAAGATCGTTTAAAAGGAGACTAGAACTATGTTTAAATCTTGGTATAAATATGACGTCTGGACGCACGACGGCAGAGTTCAGTGAGTGCGTATCATTGAAGTATGTGATTATGAAGAACCTTCGAGAAATACAGGAACATTAAGAACAATTGAAGTTTCATTTTAAAATATCATGGAACGTACTGGAAGAAGTGACATTTAGTGGCGTCAGCGAGGCCGGCGTCTCTCTCTTAAATTGTCTTGAATTTGTAATAAATCCGATATATATTTATTATTTATTTAGTTTTGTAAATAAATTTATATATACAAGTTCATTCATCGTGGTAATGTCTCAAGTGTTATCTAAAGTCAGTTGATGTCGTTGTGAAAACCCAAACCCAAAAAACCAATACGTTTATTTTTTCAAAGCAATAATGTTATTAGCCTACGAATTTCGTATATTGTACATACATAAAAACTAAATATTTGTAATCAATACTAATTTAACAAAGAATATGATTTTTTCATTATCTGTCTACCTTACGTCTTGCTTTTATTTAAATATATATATTGGACCTTGAAAAACAAATTTCGAGAATAGGTTGAAGAAATCATAAAACCATAATAATGTTTAAAATCTCTTATGAAGTTGAATAAAAAATATCTGTCATAATAAGCCTGACCTAACCTTCTCCCGGTTCCTGATAAACAATGGCTCGGTGACTGCTACACGGATAGTATAATACCTAATTTCCGAGACACGAGCTAGTGATAAGACCCCTCCCCGCGCCCCGTGCGGCATTTACTTGCGTAGGGTATTAGATTCTAATGTTAACGAATTCTTGGCCCACCCTGTATAAGCTTTTTTTGTTTTGATGTCGCGGGAAACTCTTTTTACGAGCCGTCCAACCGGCCTTAGTGGGGCCGGAAGGGATGTGTGAGACTTGACCTAGGCAGGCTCCTACTCACTAAAACCACTGCAAAAGCCATCTGCTGCTATGTCGGTGTACCCCGGATCTGTCAGCGACAGGGTACACCAGCGACTGGCCGGTCCTGGCAAATACCGGACTTACTCCCTCGGAATATGGGGGCGATCCCGGCAATTAGGACCGCCCTGACGACGCCGGGCTTTCACCGTAGCCGGGTTACTAAGCTGACCCCAGCCTGGAGCACAGGGATGCTATCGGAGGCATTGGTATTGCCTCCGCCGCACCCACGTACGTCCACTGCGGAGGGAGGGTGCATCAGCCGCATCATCCCTTACCCGCTCAGATGCCTCCTTCGTGGATATGAGCGCCTCACAGAAGGAGGACACCGCTAGCCAGGACCTTTCACTCTCGAGCATCTTTTTTTTTTTTTTTTTTTTTTTTTAATTTATTTGGGACAACAAACATTTGTACATCTATGAAAATATATATTATACAATTTTATAACCTTAATAAATGCACAAACCACACCGTTATCCACTAATTACATAAAAAAGAAAAAGAAATAAAAGAGATATTACAATGAATAATTAAAAAAAAAATAATAATAATAATAACAATATTAAATATATATATATATATATATATATATATAAGAAATATAAATACACATACATAATTACACACCTACTCACATAATAAATATATAATTTGAATTTATTATTACATACTGTTAACTAATATTATTGTTTGCTTTTTCAGTAATGGCTTTAATATTTTTTTTATATGAACCTATTGTTGACCCAAAAATGTCAACATTATAAAATTCCGCATTGTACGTTTGGGTCATTTGGTACAATGGTGCTCGCTTGCCAGCATTAGTTTGACATTTTTTCAGTTTGAATAATTTAGGTGTTCGTGTGTTACGTAATGAAACTCGATTGGGTACTAAGAAATATATGTGGCTTAATAATTGAGGACAGTTTAGATTAGAGTTGCAGATATTGTATAAGGATATTGCACTCAACAGTTTTCTTCTCGATGCGAGACTCCCCAATTTATATCTAACAAGCAACTCAGAATATGACAGATAGGAATGTGTGAATTTGTAATGTAATGAACGCAAATACCGACGTTGCACATTTTCTATCTGATCAACATATTTATTGTAAATGGGGTTCCAGATTTGTAATGCATATTCAAGTTGTGGTCTGATTAAACTGGAATACAGATATATGAGCGTAGACGGCTTTTTAAAATCCTTAGTTGATCTCATCACAAATCCGTACATTTTAAATGCGTTATTAACAATATTGTCAACATGCTTATCGAAATGAAGGTGCGAATCTATAATGATACCAAGGTCACGTACATGATTTACTCTATTTAATTGAGTCCCATTGAGACAGTATTCTTGCTTAACTATATTTTTATTTTTAGTTATTGTTATAGTGTTACATTTGGTCAAGTTGAGACGTAATTTATTCAGAACACAATATTCGCTAAGCCTGTTAAGATCGCTTTGTAAATCATGGCAGTCCGACAAATCCCGCACACTTAAGTATAATTTAAGATCATCCGCGTACAACAGGAACTTGCAATGTTTGAAGCATTGGTTTATGTCATTTATAAAGATTGTAAAAAGCAATGGCCCAAGTATAGATCCCTGTGGCACGCCGGAGGATGTAATAAAAGTATCAGACTCAAAGCCTCTAACTACGACTCTCTGAGACCTGTTGATAATGTACGAAGCAAACCACCTCAATAAATTACCTCTCACGCCGTTGAAGGCCAATTTCTTTAAAAGGATTTCATGGTCCACTTTGTCAAATGCTTTGCGAAAATCCGTGTACACAGCATCCACCTGCACCCTGTTGTCCATATTCTCAAACAAGTAAGTAGCATATAACAATAAATTAGTAGTAGTAGATTTCTGTTGTACAAATCCATGCTGCTCCTGTAAGATATCATTATGCACAAGAGGGTACAATTGGGCGTGTACTAATCGTTCGAAGACTTTCGCTAGCGTGGACAAAATCGATATCGGTCGATAATTTTCAATATTGTCTCTGTCTCCACTCTTGAAAACGGGTGTTATATGCGCCATCTTCCATAAATCAGGAAAAATACCTTCTTGCATACACTTGTTATAGATAATCGTAAGTGGAATGCATAGTGTATCCGCGGTAAGCTTTATGAACAAAGGCGGTAAGGAGTCAGGTCCAGCGCCTTTATTTGAGTCTAGTGCCCTTAACACCCTGTAGACATCGTTTTCAGAAAAATATAAAGAGCATATATTGTTGTTACTAGAGTTGGTATCACCTACTGATGACTCCCATGTTTCTATATTAAGTGTAGATGGCTCATATACAGATTGAAAGAAATGCGCGAACATTTTACATATCATTTCAGGGTCGCTTGATGAATTACCCATATAGGTCATTGTTGTCGGTATTCCCGGTTTGATTTTAAGACTAGACATGTAATTCCAAAAGGATTTTATATTTTTAATTAAACTTTGTTCCGTAAATGATATGTAATTGTCAAAGCACCTCTTACTTTCCGTATCAAATCTGCTTCGATACATGGAGAAGAGTTCATAATCAGCAGTATTTTTATACTTTTTCCACTTTACCCACGCTTTATCTTTAGCCTTAAATATCCGTCGAAGACTTGGGGTAAACCAACATGGAGAATTACTGTTTTTTATTACGCTGACCGGTGTAAACAACTTTATAATTGAGAATAGTTTTTCATAAAATATATTTATAATTTCGTTAATAGAACCAATTAAAATGTCAGACCAATTTGCTTTATTAATAGCTTCATTAATATTTATGTAGTCAGCTTTTGCAAAACACAATTTGATTCGTGGTTGTCTTGGAATAGATATAAGTGCCGTAGTTATTTTGCTGAGAATATGGAAATATGGATGGTGCTGCACCAGTGGAGACAGAGGCGATGTAGGCGTCAGACAAGTACAATCAGTGTTCGATATGAACAAATCCAAAGTACGGTTTAAATTATTTTTGTAAATGTTATGTTGAGTGGCATTCAGTAAAGGGAGGATTTGCACAAGATATTTACCAGCATATACAGTATCATTTCTTATAGAAGGTAAACAAAGACCATTATTTACTCCCCACTCAAGGCTAGGTAGATTAAAATCTCCTATTAGAAAATGCTCAGTTACATTATCACACAACACTATGTCGCAAACTAAGTCGAGATATACGACGTAAGTATTCGAACATTGATTAGGTGGTATGTATACTGCGTTCACAATGCATTTCTTACCTCGGGACGCGCTCGGTACCTCAACAGAGACGCAATCGACAATAGGAGGCACGGGCCCCGGCAGCGCGCGGCGCACGGGCCGCAGCTCGCGGCGCACGGCCACTAACACGCCGCCGCCCTCCTCCCTACCTGTGGCGGTACGGTCCCGGTCGCAGCGAAATACAATGTACCTACTGTCTATAAATTCACTATCTGAAATACTAGGAATTAACCATGTTTCGGTTAATACGATAATATCATAAGAATAAGTTAAGATGTTCATATATATGGTATTTAGTTTGGTTTTTATTCCACCACAATTTTGATAATAAAATGATAAATTACCTGTGAATTCGAATAATATTGCATATTGTGTATAAGATGTTGGTATTATATTCACATATTATGTTTAAGATATATCGTATTATGGGTGAATATATTTTAAGAACATTGTAAACATCAAAAAATAGTAGATACGTTATTTTGCAATTTAACGCGTTTGTGTAAAAAGATAACGTATCTTTGGAAGCTTGGTAAATCATTGTTATTAAACAATAATAATAGTAAAACGAAGTTATAGTATAAGAATATAACTTATTTGAATTAATCAGTAAATTGAATATGAATTTGTTATTCCCGCATCGAGAAATCAATCGTTTCATTACGTAACCACTATAGACTTTATTGTGAAGTACAAAATATAGTGTATAGTAAATATAAATATCATACTTAATATAAGTGTTATATAATAATATTATAGATAAATGATAAATTACGAATAAATATTTGATATTATGGAGTAAAACTATATGTAAATACTTATTTAATAAACACAATACCAATAAAAATGTAAGGTAATTTAAAAACATTTGCACAGAGTAATTAACAGGACAGAGCAATTCGTGTAAACATAGTGGCAAGCAATAATATTTTTTAATGAGTAGTATAACAGTAACAACTAATACGTGATGTGTTTTTTTATTTAACTTACTAGGAGGACTTAGAAGATTTAATTTTAGACAAGTCTTCATACGAACGGATAGCAATAACTCGGGATGTTTCGCACTCGCGCACAAGAATGTTACCATGCTTAATCCAAGTAAAGCGAAAATTACACCTTTTAGCAGTTTCACGAGCACTTCTAAAAAGTTGTTTGTTTCGTAATGTAAGATGTTCATTTACGTAAACTCTGCGATTTTCACCATTAATATGCAAGTCATCTGTGTATAAACCTTTCTTCATTCGAGCAGCAGACAGTATATTGTCACGCAGAATCCGGGAACATAATTTTACGACAATACTTTTAGGATGTGTGCTCTTTGTATCAGCATGAGGCACTCGGTGTACAGATACTATATCATTCGGACTTATGCTTTGCTTAATAGACGTTCCGATGTGTTCAACTATTTTTATTAGATTTTCGTTACGTCTCTCAGGTACGTTCTGAATTTCTACATTGCACTGACGTGAATGTTGCTCCATTGATTCAATTTTCGCTTCTAATTGAGTTATTGTTTTAGTGTGTTCTTCTAGACTTTTTACCTTCTTTTCTGTTTCAGCTAGACGGTTGAGACATTCCGTGGTCTTGTTGTTTAGTTCGTCAAAATAATTTGACATTTGATTCATTGTTTGCTTAACTTCGTTGAATTCCTTTACAACCTTGGATATCATATTTTCCTGTCTGGCGAACCATTTGTCCATTTTGTTAACCATTGACTCCTTGAACTCACGTAGTAACAATGGATTAAGACCACCTTCCGTGTCAACACGAGTTCTTCTAGTTGTCACGCAATTTACGGGTGATCCATCGGTAAGTGATGTAAAACTTATGTCTTGAGCATCGTTGGAATGTGTAGGCGAAGACATATCCGTGTATAATAAAAAGTGTTGCAATATCTCTATATCTCTGTGTAGTCACTACTCTGTATATACCGGTCGGTAAACGTAATCAACTGTAAGCACAATGCGCGCGACCGGCCGTCAAGAGTGACCGAGACGGAATGTCTTCTCCGCGATACTGGAAAGTGACAAGTCCACTCCGCCGAGAGCCGCTACAAGGTCTTGTAGCTGCGCAGCCCATCTCGGGCACACCTCGCGGTTGTGCTGGGCCAAATAGTATAATATATAACCTTACTTTAATTATCGCGATAATAATTCTATCTCGTAAACATTTTATTTTGTTAGCACTAGAAAAACATATCTTAATACATTGAATGTGTTAGAAAACGTGGGCAAAACAAAGATAATTTTTCGAACAAGTGAATCTCATTTGAACATAACATAATGTTTTTGAAGTTGGAGTGAACCAACATATTAATTTTCTCACCATAGGATCATTTCCCTCAAACCCACAGTGTGATTCCTTTAGAAGTGTTCTGTATTGATTGATGGGTTCCGTCTTCATCATCAGAACAAACGGAGAACAGGATTTTATGGAGACACATCTTCCAGTAACACCATTGCAAGTTTCCTCTCTTCCATATTCTGGTGAAACGTTTTAATAACTTTAATATCATTTTTCACTAGAATTTTGTTACGTGTTATTTCATTATATATAGAATAAATTTTGCTATAATATCTTATTATAACATTTCTAGAATAATATGCTTATATTTCTTTATTGGATCACAATTCTATATTTCTCAAGTATAATAATATTATTTAGGCAGACCCTGGCTAAAGCTCGGAAATTGCCAGGTGGAGGAAGTAATATACTTAATATTATTTCAAAATATATTTTGAAAGCTATATAATACAGAAATAAATCGTTAATAACAATAAATGAATTCAGTTCTTTAAGTATAATACTCACCGATAAGAGAGGACGCTCTCTCAAAACAGAGACACAATAGTAATACTTGGACGACCATTTGTTAATACAGTAGGACCCCGATTATCCGGACCTCGGTTATCCGAATTCGCGATTATCCGGACTGCCAATCGCGACGAGTTTATTCTAACACTAGCTGTGCCCGCGACTTCGTTCGCGTGGAATAGTGACTATGAGCAGCATTTTTTTTTTAATATTTACTTATTTTTATTTTGGATCATAATCACAGTCATTTTGGGTAGCTAAAAAACCTACTTTACTGTAATGCTTCTCTATATACAATATTAGACGTATGGCAGAGCCACATACAATTGGGATTGCTAACACGGGTCGAATATTGAACGCGAATATTGAACGCAGTTCTTCAGTTCTTTAATTTGACATAACTTTTTTATTTATGAACCGATTGACATGAAACAAACACTAAAGCATAACTGAAGCATACCACAATATATTCGTGAAAACCGAATCCAACTCGGATCAGCCGTTTCTTAGATTAGCGTGAACAGACAAAAAAAAAGTTAATTACATTTTTGGGTTCGACATCGACATAACAATAATCCCTGTTATTTTTTTTTATTTTTATTTTCAATGTACAGACAGCACTTTTCTACAATTTTATTATTGTATGAATAGATTAACATGTCAGAACTTGCACAACGCCACGCCACTTATCACACTTATACGTACATTATGTACAATTTCTTAATAAACGTTGATTTTCGCTCATATGTATTTGTTGTTTTAAATAAACACCTAACATTACATATGTATGGTACAGACTACATATGTACATATGCAAAAAGCCCGTTTTTCTTCATATATTGGATTATCCGGACTTTCACTTATCCGGATGCCTACCGACAACAATTAGTCCGGATAATCGAGGTCCTACTGTACTACATTTTTTGTTTTATTATCTTGTGGCAGACGAACATATTGATTTTCGCCACAGCCCGATCTGGAGAACGATCAGCACTCGATTCCCGTTGCCGGTTCGCCAAAGTTCGGAAATTTTGTGAGGCTAAACGCTACGAACGTTCAACGCTTGATTCCCTCGCACGGTTTTGTTCAGTAATTGCTCGTTGTGTAGCCAACCTGTGCATATTTTCATCCTCAGTTTCATTGCTGCGCAAAACTCGTAGCCGCTTTGCAATAGTAGTCTGCCGAGAAAGCTGAGTTCTTTTTCTCGGCATTGTAGTGATGAAGAAAAAACGTAGAAAATGAAAACTTAACTAAAGCGTGTCTCGTATTAAAAAAAAAGAAACGTAAGGTTAGGAACCTAGTTACTTTTGTTTTTAACGATTATGTCAAAAGAACAACCGTAAAATGAAAATAAGGTAAACTAACTTTATGCTTAAACTTAACCCTAATCTAATGAGAATAAATAGGTAGACCACACCTATTTACAGCTTTTATCTAAAGCAAAAAAATAATTAGAAACTAAATACGTTAAAATAAACCCTAATCTAATAAGAATGATTAAGTAGGCGACACCTATTTAGGTACCTACAGGTATTATGTACCAAAAAAATATATATTAGAAAGTAAATATGTACTATTTTTAAAACAAACAATACTATACTTATAGAAAACACATACTAATAAATTAATTATCTACATGAAAACAAAAAAGTGTTATTATTGTGTAACTAAATACTATCCTAAAACAAATAAAGTACCTACTATATAGAAAACAACTACAAAATGAAACTGTTTTTAAAAAGTAATATCACGATGATAATTATATCGCATAAACAAATTAGCGCTGCATTCAACCGGCTTGCCCGCAAGCACCGCCTCTCTCCCGCCGCGCCGGCCAGCGCAGAGAGCGAGTTGGTTTTGTTTCGGAGTTGTTTATCATTGTATCTTTTAAAGTTTTTTGTTGAAATTAAGTTATGTCAAAGACAATTTTATTCAAAATGAAGTACTCTTAACCAACAACATATTTATTTGTTTATTTGAATAAAGAATAATATTATTATGTTGATACAACTTAAACAAATTATTTCGACCAAATTAGGTACCATAAAAACGGTTTTTGGGAGTTAATCTTAAAAGATAGACATATACTGTCGCCGACTGATTTTTAGATCATTAAAAGAGCTATTATTCTTTAATACATATTCTTTGTGTGTCTTGAACCGTTTTCACGGCGCACGCAACGGAAGGCTTCAAAGATGAAATAATTTCTCCCTTTTTTTACGCATTTACCACTATATCTTTGCTCCTATTTTGGTCGTAGCGTGATGTTCCTTGATAACTGGACTATCCAACACAAAAAGAATTATTCAGTTCGAACCAGTAGTTTCGGTGATTAGCACTTTCAAACAAACAAACTCTTCAACTTTAAAATATTAGTATAGATGCGACATGAAAATAATTTAAGCCTGTCATCAATCAATTATTATTAAAACTCATTAGTATTCATGATTAGTGTTAAAAGTAAAACGAAATCAAAGATTGTTTAAAAGGAGAATAGAACTTTGTTTAAATCTTGGTACAAATATGACGTCTGGACGCACGACGGCAGAGTTCAGTGAGTGAGGACCATTGAAGTAAGTGATTATGAAGAACCTTCGAGAAATACAGGAACATTAAGAACAATTGAAGTTTCATTTTAAAATATCATGGACCGTACGGGAAGAAGTGACATTTAGTGACCTCAGCGAGGCCGGCGTCTCTCTCTTAAATTGTCTTGAATTTGTAATAAATCCGATATATATTTATTTAGTTTTGTAAATAAATATATATGTACAAGTTCATTCATCGTGGTAATGTCTCGAGTGTTATCTAAAGTCATAGTTGATGTCGTTGTGAAAACCCAAACCCAAAAAACCAATACGTTTATTTTTTCAAAGCAATAATGTTATTACATATTTATCTTTATTTATATATTTAGGAAGGAAATACATCATACTTTAATTTTAAATGAAATTATGTGACGTACGACTTAAGTGCCATTTTTTTCGCCTGCATAGTCTTAAGCTGAATTGAAGATCTTCTATGTCATTCAACATGCTGGTAGATGGAAATAAAGCCACGGTGGTGAACCCATTGTCTCAATAAAAGTCTATCTATTCTGGAATTTAAGACGAAGGTAAACTGTTCTACTTATTTGCGAGGTGCATGTTGAATCAGGTAGCGTATCACTTCATCCGTATGAAAGAAGATCTACAACGAAATTATGGAACCTGTCCTTATGTTTGTTTGTCAGATGATTAAAAGATAATGCAGAAATTAAAGCGTGCATTCCTCCATAAACTCTCCACGGTGTATCCTTTTAAAAGCGGAAGGGTTGGCTACTTCACTCCTCGACACTGCCTGAAATTTGTCTCAAAACAAGTTGTGGTCGTCACTGAAACCGTCAACCGTTGCTGCAAAATAGCCGAAGCGTCGGGAGTAGGTATGTAGTTTTTAAAAATAATAATATACTAGAAGACCTTTCGAACTTCGTATCGCCCTATAATCAAGAAATATCTATTACGTTTTTTTATTTATATTTTTGGAGTTTTTAAAAATAATAATATATGTCAAGTAATCCGAAAATATATGATTTATATAACAGTAGCATTCCATATAAATTTTTTTCAGCTTTGGAACTTTTGCTCCACGAACATTTCAAGACTAAGATAAGATAAATGCGTTCAGCTGTTCTCGAGTTTTAGCAAGACTAAGAACAGCAACATTTTTATATATTTAAACTCATTTTCCATGGGAAATGAATGAAATAGCATTCCATATTTACTATGTAGAAGTAATAGTAATAAAGTAGTACAGATTTTTAACTCATTTTCCAGGGAAATGAATGAAATCAATATTTACTTGTATATGTAATAGTAGTCTTAATATATTTATTTGAAGTGAAATATAATGAAACAAGTTTATACAAATATACAATTTATTATTTGTTACACAATTAAATAACTCAAACTTTTTACATTTTTATTTACAACGTCAAATATCGTTTTCAATCTGAAAACGCAGTACTTGATACTTTTTGAAATTAATTCTTAGATACATACTAACTGAAAAATTTTGGTTTTTGTAATGAATGTAGATTTAAAACAGTATAGTCCTTTACGTTTTAATTATATTAAAAAATATAAGAATTTACATGAAAAGGTATTGCCGGTTTCAAATTAACAACAAATTTTCTTTATATTGTTGTATTTATACAAAATAGACAGGCTTAACACCATATTGGATATTAATTTAACACATTTCAAAAACAAAGAAACCGATCCTTAACTCATCGTCAAAAAAAGTAGCGCCATCTCTTATTAGGACGATGTAAACGAGGCTTAAATAATGACTACAAGGCAAATATGGCTGTCACTAACCTATGTTACATTAAATAAATATTGCTTAATTATCTGTTGGAATGTATATTTATTTGTATAATTATTATTTATTTACAATAAAAATAATATTTACTCAATGAAATTAATTTATAAGGCGATAATTGAATATAGTCCGCACATTGATTTAAACATGTAGAATGTCTGAAAAGGACTTAATAGCAAAGACTAAAATATTTTGAATTACTGAATAAGTCAAATGTAATTAATTGTAAATATATGTTATTAGTTTATGACGTAACTAGTTACTATAACTTTTCTCACTCTAACAAAGAAAAAACGAGTTGTTCTGAAGACAAACTAGACTTTGAAGTTGAATACATAAGTGGGGATCGTTTATAACTATGAATAGAAACTAATATTGTGAGACAGCCACAGATTTTACAGATATCTTTATTTTTGTCACTCACTAAACCTCAAGTCATGATTTAGACGCCATCCCAAATATTGTGATCTTTTACGAATGTCAAAATATGTAAAATACATTTATGTCAGTAACTTAAACCTTGATCACAAGAAGTAACAGTAAGTATTTGAAACCTCTATACATTGATTAGGCGTGGACTTTTTAGGAAGAAATATTATTATTATCGTTTGAGGTACAGAAATAATTGTTTTTCATTTATAACTACTCCGAAACCTGAAAAAATTTGAAATATCTTATGAAAATAGAACGCTTATGTTTGAAATAATTATCGCCTTAGTAATTAATTTCATTTCTAATCATCTTATTTCTAATTCAAGACATTATTTCCATACGATCTGCTTGTATATCCACATTATATCTGGTGGTTATCTTGTTGTCAGTTAGAATGATTTCTGGCGGGATGGTGAGGGTGAGGCGGATGAGGGTGCGGAGGGTGTACCAGCGCTGGATTGGCCACAGCGATGATACTGTCACCCCTTGCAGCCACGACTTGTGGACGCTCTTCACCCTCCTGAAAAAGATAAGTCATAGTCTCTTTATCCGAATACTTGTGGGCTTTGTGTTACATACAACACAGAAATGATAGCTTTGAAATTCCCTTTTCCAATGTGTACGTGTGGTTTATCTTAAAGTTTTAATAACTAATAAACTCCTTGCAATGCCTCTACATATTCAGATTTCAGTTATTTCTTAGTTGATGTAGAAGTGTCAAAGGATGTTAAAAAACTTGAAATAGAAACATTACATTAAAAAGAATTTTTCCATCAAAAACCTTGATTAGTCCGAACAATAGCAATTAGTATTTCTTTGCATTATTACGACATGATTTCTATTACACGAATTATTTAAATGTTGATTCATTAAGGATTTGATGAAATCAGTTCATTCTGAAATTCTATCGTGACTATGATAGTAGTTCATTTATATAAAAAATATATAATATATACTTCATACATACTTATCTCGTCTGTCCGTGATCACGGTTGCAAAAACCGAAGCAACGGGAGTAACTAGTTTTTTTAAAAATAATAAAATATGTGTAGTATACTCCGAAAATATAAGTTTCATTTAAATGAATACTCACGAAAGCCTTAGATCTCACGATATATAATATTACTTTGGTACTATAATGTCTTTTTTCTATACCCGTATGTTGTAGTGTATACTCACAGGGGGTGGTGTACTCGTGCTTGAGTAAGAACAACGAGAGTCAGCGTCGTCACTCTCCGTCTTACCCCACCAACTGATAAACAATACAACAATTATATATGCCACTAATATTATATATGCATATTATATATTATACCTTTTTTAATGAACATTCAATTTACAAAACATATAATCTAATCTGGGACTGATAAAGAATATGAAAGTAAGCAAACGTATCGTATTTAGTAATATAATTGGCTTTTGATGACAATTAGATCGGTTAGATTGGTATTCGTATTTAAATTCCTAGAAAACGAAACTGAAAAACTATTTATTAACATAATTAGTTTTAATGAGACATTGTACAATCTTTTCCATTTAATAATACATATATTCCAATTTGTTTCATCGTTCCAGTAAGATATTGTCAGCTTATAAATATGTTTTAAGAACTTGTTAGAATTTCACTGTCTCTTGGATACACAAGAACATTTCATATTTATTCTCATAGCCAACTAAGATTACGTTCTGATTTAAAATTTCCAATCAGATTTTTTGTTAAGAAACTAGATATTTTAAGTGATGAAACTCACCTGTAATTGGATCGTGCTGTCTCTGGGCTCGCTCTAACGCCATTGTCCTCTCTCTCCTGATAAATTAACAAAATTTTAATAATAAATCCCGATAAAATTGCATATTCTTTCATTATTTTTTCTATATTTCATATATACATTTATATTATGACCAAATATGCAATACGTGCATTTTTACTAAGAAGTTTTAGTGCTTTTTAAATTAGTACACAGATCATGCATTAAAATATTATCATGCGTTATGCTCACCTTCGTTTTAATTGAAATAATAATATTCATCTAAAGCGTTAGACAGAACCGATCATGCTTACCTTTACCAAAACTATAAGTGCAAAGGAAGATAAATAATTAGAAGCTTAAATAATTAATGTTAATAAATAATTTCTTTTAGAACATAAAAAAAATGTTTTCGTCTTTCTAATTATATTACAATTTATTGAGGTGTTCCCAAGGGTCGCGTTTAAGAACCTCTTATATACAAAGCATTAATGATTTACATAATATTATACAGTTAAAAATTCCTTAAATTATTCTTCTATAATGAGATCATAGTGTCGTGTGTGGTTCAGTTAGTGTTAGTGTATCTACACAATAGTTATTAGTGTTATTTATCGTGTTAGGTCTATGTGTGAGACCTGCCGCGGTCGCTTGCTCGGAGTCTCCTCCTCATCACGATCTCGGTCCTCCGTTGTGGCAGAAGGAGGGAGACTGGAATGTATATAAAAATAACATTTAATATACTATGATATATTTATATAGTTATGGATTTAACGTTAAAGCAATGTTGAGCTAATGCATTTAGGTACATATGTACATATGTTAAATTTAATTTAGACAATATAAAAATCATTTTGATCCTATATAATGATGAGTGTCGTATGAAGTGACGGATATATGATAAAAATACACAACTAAGGTAATGTTAAATAAATTTCTCATTACATAAAGTATCGTAATCAATATTACATACATATTTATAAATGGATTCCTAATTGTTATTTATTAAATATATCATTAAAATTATCATAATATAAGTTTATGAAACAGAAGTATAAGTATATGAAACAAATTAATAAATCAATAAATCCTGCAAAAGTGAAAATGAAGCTTAAATACCAAAAATATTTTTACGTGTTGTTCGCATTAATATAATGTAATACCTGTATAATGTTAAAAGTAATGTAATATTAGAGCCTAGATATTTTGTTATTTGTAATAAGTAAAGTATCTAACCCATGTTTAGAGTAGTGTAGACCGGCTCTTCTTACAAGCTGTCTGGCGAGAGGAAACAGCTCGTCCCGTCTCGTGAGCAATGCTGGCGAGCATCGTGATAACTGAGCAGCCGCTTCGTTCACTAACACCTGATGAATGGCACGAAATACCAATTAAAATACAACGTCTTAGAAAGGAAATGTAAAATTATTAACACTAGCAAAAGATACACATCAAATTTTATAGATTAAAAACAAGTTGGCTAAATTAATTACATTTCTAATTGTCTTTTTCATCCTATGTACTCGTATGTATGTATTAAAAAAATAAACTTTAACCCTTTTTTGTACTGTTTAAAATGGTTGAAAACAAACATCAAGTACCTCATGTAGTGTCAACGGTTTCTCAGGCTTCCTCTTGCAGTCAAACCTTCCATATATGGCCGCGTATTTTCTGATCTCCTCCATTCGCCGAGGATCCGTCTCCGGCATCATCATCACCAACTCGAGTTCCTTGCACATTTTCTTTTTAGTATTCTGCGGCTTCGGTTCGAACTGCGGAAGGTGTTTGCACAACTTTTCCGCTGCCGCAGCTAGTTTTTGTACGTGAACGTCTAATAGGACTGGCGTTAATTGGACGGGGGATGTGACTGAACTGGGACTAGATCCTGAGGAAGCAGGAGGACAGGCGCTTTGAGGAGAAAAAGATCTGGTAGTCGTTGTGACAGGAGCGGTGGGGGCGGGAGACGATGGTAGGACTATTTTGGTGAAAGCTGCCTGACTGTGCACTGGGCTGGCATTGGGAGCGGAAGCGTTTGATCCGCAGCTATTTTCTGGAGCTCCAGGAGAGGGACTGTACATGGGTCTATTATTATCAGGAGATGACACCGTTCTTGGTAAATTTGGTATGGTAGGTGGGATGTTTAGAAGTCTTTGGTTGCACTGTATGAAAGGGTTCTCGGTGGGACAGAGGTTTGGGACGATGGGTATCTGGAAGAGTGCTGGGTTGTTCACCCACTCTTGGAGAGCTTTTTGTAATCTCCGTACGTGTAACGGCTTGGACGCCATCCCAACTAATGCCATTATTTCCAGGAATTCTTCTTCACCAGCGTCACAGAGCTGCTGCACGTCATCGCCACCTGAAAACATGTATAACACGAAACTGTAGAGGAATTTATAACAAAAGTATAAAAAAATAATTCAATTGTTTTATTCATGAAACAACAACATTAGTAAAAAAACTAGAGTGTAGTAAAATTGTATTTATTTTTCAGTATACTGAAAAATATTATATTAGATATTACATATATTCCGTTCTAAAAAAGTAAGCAATTGAACATAAATAAAATCCTAATATCCTAGGACCTCATTAAAACTATTATTTTACACTCTTACACACAATTTCCTTATTTTTTTTACTCAATGTCAATGTTGAAGACAATAACAGAACGGGGTCACATGTCATTAACATGCGGGAATAAGACGAGATCTATCATTGTTTGTAAAAAACGTGTGATTCAATGAAAAAAGTCCGACACACACTTTTAATTTAGGCAAATATGCAAATGCTATACGTGACCATTTTGCGAAGGGGCCGACAAACAAAAAAACAAAACCAGCTAAGGAACGGCCGAACCCTTCCGAGGTAATTGACGGAATTAAAAAACTAAAACTGACGAAAAAAAATTATTAGCATGTCTGTAGATTTTTTCGCTTATGGAAATATCTTTTTTTTTTAATTTCGACGATGAGAAAACATTTTTTCTAATGTTCCTAAGGTCGATAAGTTTTTTTTTAGTTTCATTTAAGAAGGTATTGTGTTGAGTGTGAAAATATAAGAATTTTATGAACATAAAAAATAGCAATATAATTATTATAAAAAATGTATATTATAAAAGTTGTATTTTATATACAAAAGAAGTTATATGTAATTTTTTTGCAAAAAATATTTATTATTAAATTAATTATCATTACAACTAATAATAATGATTATTTTTCATTACACAAATTGCTATTTAATTTTCTTGATAACAATATAACTGAGACTTTAAAAAGTATTTCTCTATTATAATACTTTTTATTCGTTTACAAAATGATTAACTACTACTACTACTATGTCTATTTGACTACTTTTAAGTAATGTGTAAATTAGAAAGTTATTTATATTATCTATTGTGTATACCTAAAAAAGACTAGATATTCATAAACAATAATACTAACCCATTTCAAGTAACGTGTCGTAGTAAGCTAGTAAGCTAGCTCGTTGCATTACTCGGTACAGTTGCAGCTCGGCTTCGTTAGATGGCGCTGATGTCACTACCACTGAAACAATAAACATACTGTTATCATCTTAAAACAATCACTTAAGACGCGTAGGTACTACTTAAAATATGTATAAACAAAAGATTTCTCAACTTTATCCACAATTTCACTTAGTATTATACTTTCCAAAAAAAACCTAATACATACATAGCGATAGAATGTTTACTTCAAATGACAGAAGTCAAAAATGTGAGCTTTGGTGCTTAATTTTGATTACAAAAATTTAAAACCTATTATATTTTTAATACATTATTTTTTTTTTCCCTCTGAATTACAAGAGTGATATATAAAAATAACATATTTTTTAATCTATCAATTTGCCACGAACTTAGTATATTCAAAAAATATCCAGGGTTTAAAATTTCCCCGAGTTCCTTAATTTTTTTAATGGTTTCATGCAGGAACTATAATTTTAACCCACATTTTTGACCTTATTTAATGTTCGGTTAAATTTAAACAGCTGCTTTGTTTGAGTTCTCGATTTTTGCCTATTCCGAAAACAAACGAATAATTTGTATTAGGTTTTGAGGTTAAAAGGAAATATGACCCCTTTATTCTGAATATTGACTGTTGCTTATAATAAATGAGACTATTTTTATCAACGTGTTACGGTGGTATAAAATTTTTGTAAAGAAAATACCGTTGGATATATTTAGAGATGTTATTTAGAATCTTAAAATCTTATGGCTCCTAAGACTCTTATTTCTACTAAAAATTATGACTTGAGACGAGTTGTCCTGTAACTATTCGAATATTGCCGAAATATCATTGAAGCATCGTATTAACATTGAAATCAAATTGTTGCAATCCAATTGTTATATGTGGTAAAGAAACATAATTATTGTTTATGTAATGAAAACAAAAGCCAACAAACTACATAATAAAATTACAATAAGAAAAGACGGCATAAACCGGGATAAGTTAAGAAGAATATAAAGGTTCAGTGTGCAATTTTCTTAGGCTGATAGACATATTTATAATACATCGTAATTTCATGCCAAAACCGTTCATTATGATAAGACAATGAACACGAGGACTCTTTAGTTCGCACGTGTTTGATTGTGCACGAATTTTTTGCCAAAAAACAATACACTAATCACGAATTTACCGTATTTCCTAAATCTAGCCCCATTTAAAGTTTTTTGTTTCTGAAACTTGAAAGGTCTAGAAAAAGTCGACGCTAGGGTATAATTAAAGAAATAAAATCATAGGTGGAGATGTACAAGATGACAAAGAAAATTTTTTTAAGAAGTTCAAAAGATTAATATAGGATGCTAATTACTTTGAGCGCAATAAATAGATTTTCATAAATAAATTTGTGTTTTGTGATGAAAAACAAAATATTTATATTTTATTTTAAGATACATAAGAAATACCTTGATAATGTCTATACAAATTTAATTTTATATAAGCTATTTCGTTTCTTTTGTGGGTTATTTTTACCCTTTATTCCGAGCCCCAAATAATTTTGTTACATCGCCCCTACGAGGCTCACCACGTCATTGATATAATAGTACGCCACTATATATGTATATAGTCGGTAGAATATGTTTTGAGACAAATCGTAAATATAAGAGTTTGTATTTTTAATATTTCTTCAAACTACATAAAGCATTCATAGGAAAGAGTCATGAAAAATAGTTTAACAAAATATGAAAAGTATTGCTAGATTAAAATATACATATGTAGTATCGACAAAATAATCTAGAAAAGGGCTTATTATTAAAATCTCGTTATTACTTGAATGTTACTCGACGAAAATAAATCTATTTTATTTAGTTTGACTACATTTTGCATATCTATTTTAATACATATGAATATATATTTTTTGTTTCAATTTCGAACCGCCGTAACAAAACTTCATGGTATCCTTTCGAAGATATTTTTTTAAGATTCAATTTTGATGAATGTTTTGTCTTTAATGTAATGATTAGAAAGTCTTATTTTAAAACCCGTTCAATATCTTCAGAAATGTCATTATCGTTCTGAAATTAATGTTTTGTTTAAATCCAGTCAGAAGCTAACATTCTAGCGTGTGTGACTTGAAAATGAAATTATTTAAATCAGACAATATTATGTTTAATAAAAAGAATTGTACAAAAAATATATTTACATATGTATGTATATGTATATAATTTAATTAAACTTATTGCCAAATTTCTTCTAATGTTTTTAGTTTTTACAACACAATAACATGCAATCAATTACTTTGAAATTGTTGAGTGATTTAAGGTTATATAGGATAGACATTAAAAACTGTAAAAATGTATGTAAAGTACATGTTATTTGTCTTAATTGAAATTAAAACGTAGAATTAGATAAATTTTGTATTGAAATTCTTTAATTAGAAGGCTTAGCTTATGTTTATTTAATATGATTTTATAGAATCATCAATTGTTATAAACACTATGTGTAAAGTATAAACTATATATATGCGAGTTAAAGCTGAGTTTCAGCAAATAGTAATAATAGCGTATTAGTTAAGTAACGCTAAAAAAACAGCCGTTTCATAACATTTTTCTCAAATAAAAATGATTTTTGAATAAAACTTTACATTCATAAAAATATCCTCATACATATATATTCAAATAAATGATTTATTTAAATACAAAAATGAATATAAATGTAAATAAATACCTATATAAATATTATTTGATGGCTTCGTTATTCCTACATAGCCGGTGCGTGCGGCAATTCAGTTCCAAATCGCGTGAGGAGACGCTCACAAAAAACAACCCCTTTTAATAACAACCCCTGCTATTACTAAAGGAATCGAAACAACCGTTACGGGAAAAAAAACTTACATAAAGGAGCCTTTGTTCACCAAACGGGTTATGTTCAACCAATGCGACGCACGAGATCTATCGATCGTTTGAAAAAAATATGTATCTACCCCCCGAATGTTTAGTTTTTATGATGGAAAAAAATGTGGGGTGGCAAGCTCCACCCCTGGCAGGTAAGATGATTGAAAAAAACTGGTTTATATACTTATATTAATGTGAAATAGATTTTGGGTAAATTAGTCTTAATTCTTATTTAAATATTATGTTATTTCGGGTTCAAAAATCGATTTATACCTAATATATATTACTTTTAATATATACTTCATGTAAGTAAGACGTATAAAGTAAATAGCAAAATTACTTATTATTACTATAATATATTTTTTACTTAATCACAATCGGAGTCTACAGTCTAGACTAATTCAACACCATGTCAAAAAAACACTTAAAGTATGGTGTAACAAAAAATATATTAATATTCTACGTAAGCCATTACAACAGAAAAGGATATGAAACTCATTCTAAGAACACTTTCTCAGACACAAAAAAATACGAATGTCCAAAAAACGCATTTGCATAATCTCAACAAAAAAATCGCCAGTACCGCGAATATGCAAATGGTTCACGCGAGACAGAACGAAAGGGAACGCATTGTTTTTTTCGATAATTTTTTTATTAAAATTGGTCACGTAGCTATTATGAAATAATCTCACGATGCTTTTTTTTTGTCTTGAGAATCTTCGCCTCATTAATATGCCAGATTACATTGTGTTATATTTTAGTATATTTTTTATTATCAAAACTTAAGTAAGGATATTTTAAGTACGGAGGAAACTTTATAGAAATGTGAATAGTATAATAAAGTATTCTATACTTAATGAGATCTAAAATTTTCGCGATTATTCATTTAAATGAAACTAATATTTTTTATCTCTGCATCTCGTCTGCCAGTGATCAAGGTTGCTGTAAAGGGGCCGAAACGTCGGGAGTATGTAGTTTTTGGTAAAAAAATAAAATTCGTAGCAATCCGACAATATTAGTATTCTATACCTACTTCTCTAGTAGTATAGTAATGCATATCTATTTATATAAAAGGAAGTGGTGTTAGTTACACTATTTATAACTCAAGAACGGCTGTAGAGATATGGTTGAACATTGTGGAGAGATAGCTTAGAACTAGGAGACGGACATAGGATATTTAATACTGTTCGATCGAAAAAACAAAAAGTCTTAATATAAATTCCAATATAATATGGTCATTTAAGGCCTCTAGGATGGAATAGAGTTCGCCCGGTCAGTTATACATATATATATATATATACCTATATATATAACTAATGCCGAAATTAACGCGGACGAAATCGCGAGCAAAAACTAGTTTTATTATAAAAAGAGTCAGGTGGCCCATCTCCTACTGTAACGTAGCAGTTTCATAAATATTATTAATAAAACATTCTGTCAAGTCGTCTAGACCGTTTTTAATTACAGCATCCATATTTGCATATCAACAATGAATAAATATGTTTTTCGTTTTCGTTACAAAAACACACAAAAAAATTACAGAAATTTCAAACTATTATGCGAAATTGAAATTCAAATGACGAATATGAGACGAAATCAAACTTGTTTATTTTGTAGGATAATTATATGGATAAGAAGTATAGTATATAATTATCTATCTAGTTACCGCAGTAATAAGCACCTATACGTGTGAATACAACTAATTTATAGAATACGATGGTAATTAGGATACCTTCTTCCCCTGTTTAGACAATGTAAACAAAAACACGCAATTTGAATATCTATAGAGTACCGTTCCCATAGTGACACCATGTTCGCGCATCCGATTAGTTTTTTTTTATATTTTTTCGCACTTGCGTTTAATTTCTTCATCCCTAAATGTTAATAGGATTAATTTTAAGCTCCCTGGAGATCGTGACTGAGAATCTCCTTACGGTTTTAATGAATAGGTCATTAGGTTAAAGGGTATGCTAATTCTCAATAAAGAGATAGAAAATTAACACACTTAATAGTTAAAATCGACATAATCTGTATTCATTGTATGGGGTATCAAATGCGCGGGAAATTCAAAATTAACTAAGAATAACAAATACTTAGTCTACATTAATAACAATATTAGGTATATAGTTAGTGGTGTCCTAGAGGTTAAAACTTAAAAGACCCGCTTTTCATACATAAGGGCGCGGGTACGATCCTGACAAGTACCAATGTG